TGAAGAAGTTTCGACAAAACATTTACGATGAAGTTTCGACAAAACATATACGCTCATGTTTGACAAAGTCATTAACGATGAAATCATTTACACTCATTAACGTAAACATTATTTTTGGATCATTTACGTTCATGTTTGACAAAGTCATTTACACTCATGTTCGACAAAGCATATACGATGAAATTATGACAAAACATATACACTCATTAACGTAAACATTATTTTTGGATCATTTACACTCATGTTTGACAAAGTCATTAACGATGAAATCATGACAAAACATATACACTCATGTTCGACAAAGCATATACGATGAAAACATTAACGTAAACATTATTTACGTTCATTACGATGAAGAAGTCATTTATGTTCATGTTTGACAAATCATTTACGTTCATTAACGATGAAGAAGAAGTATTTACACTCATGTTTGACAAAGTCATTAACGATGAAAACATTTACACTCATTAACGTAAACATATATTTTTGGGTCATTTACACTCATGTTTGACAAAGTCATTAACGATGAAATCATTTACACTCATTAACGTAAACATTATTTTTGGGTCATTTACACTCATGTTTGACAAAGTCATTAACGATGAAAACATTTACACTCATTAACGTAAACATATATTTTTGGGTCATTTACGCTCATGTTTGACAAAGTCATTTACGATGAAACCATTAACGTAAACATATACGTTTAAGTTCCATGAACATAATAATATTTCAAACTAGGAGCCAAATTCTTGCGATTTTCGAATGGAATCTCTTCTCTCGGTTTTCCGAGGGAAACAATCATATGAAATCATTTACACTCATTACGATGAAGAAGTTTCGAAAAAACATTTACGAAATCATTAATGAAAACATGACAAAACATTAACGATGAAATCTTGACAAAGTCATTTACACTCATGTTTGACAAAGTCATTAACGATGAAATCATTTACACTCATTAACGTAAACATTATTTTTGGGTCATTTACGTTCATGTTTGACAAAGTCATTTACGATGAAACCATTAACGTAAACATATACGATGAAGAAGTTTCGACAAAGCATATACGTTCATTACGATGAAGAAGTTTTGACAAAACATTTACGTTCATGTTTGACAAAACATTTACGATGAAGAAGCATTTACACTCATGTTTGACAAAGTCATTTACACCCATTAACGATGAAGAAGTCATGAAAATTCAAGACCTTTGGGTCTCGCCGCTTAGCGGCTGAGGCGAGAAAAGAGGTGAGATCTAACCATCTACCCTAAACATTATTTTTGGATCATTTACGTTCATTAACGATGAAGAAGTTTCGACACATTCATTTACACTCATGTTTGACAAAGTCATTAACGATGAAATCATGACAAAACATTTATGCTCATGTTTGACAAAGTCATTAACGATGAAATCATGACAAAACATATACGATGAAGAAATCATGACAAAACATATACGAAGAAGTCATGACAAAACATGTACGATGAAGTCATGACAAAACATTTACGAAGAAGTCATGACAAAACATTTATGTTATACAGTAATGTTAGTCATGAATGTTTGTCCTACGTGTTGGCGTTAGTGTTGAAAAATAATGTTTGTCCTACATGAACCCGTACAAGCGTTTGAATTTGTTTATGAATAAGATTACACTCTTGTTTTCTGTATCTATCATACAAACATAAGCAGCACCTGTTTTTCTAAAGTTTATATGAAGTTTTCGATAGTTAAGACCTGTATAATAATAGTTCATGAGAACAGTGAGGAGGTCGTTCATGAGAACAGTGATGAAATCGTTCATGCAATAAGGAGGTCATACATGAGAACAATGATGAAATAGTTCATGCAATAAGGAGGTCATACATGCAATAATGAAATAGTTCATGCAATAAGGAGGTCATACATGCAATAATGAAATAGTTCATGCAATAAGGAGGTCATACATGAGAACAATAATGAAATAGTTCATGCAATAAGGAGGTCATACATGAGAACAGTGATGAAATCGTTCATGCAATAAGGAGGTCATACATGAGAACAATGATGAAATCGTTCATGCAATAAGGAGGTCGTTCATGCAATAATGAAATAGTTCATGATGTTGTTAGTGTTGGAGTTTGTACTTGTCATTTGTGTTTGTCATTCGTGCTGAGGTTAGTACTTGTCGTTAGTGTTGGAGTTTGTGTTTGTTGTTAGTGTTTGTCATTTGTGCTGAAGTTAGTACTTGTCGTTTGTGTTGGAGTTTGTGTTGGAGTTTGTGTTGGAGTTTGTGCTGAAGTTTGTGTTGGAGTTTGTGTTTGACAAATTCATTTACGATGAAGATAAATTAAATCTTGGACTTTGCCATGGTCTCTGTCCCTAGTAGTTTACATTAAGTTCTGGAAATAATGAAAGTCATGAACTTTGCCATGGTCTCTGTCCCTAGTAGTTTACATTAAGTTCTGGAAATAATGAAAGTCATGAACTTTGCCATGGTCTCTGTCCCTAGTAGTTTACATTATCTCACAGAGTTAATGAAAGTCATACTTTCTATCAGATGAAGCATGCAGATGAACATATTGAAAGTTAGTGAGTTTGCCACGAGTTATGAATAAAATATTGGCATATTAGATGAGATAGTTGATGAAACCGATGAAGATAAATTAAATCTTGGACTTTGCCACACTCTGTCCCTAGTTCCTCAAAATCCTTGACAACGTTGCTTAGAAATTTTGGTTCAAAACCTCATCTGCTTTTAATCTGTTATGCTAACCTGTTAAGTTTCGCGAGATTATAAATGTCATGGAGTTATATAAAAAGGAGGGACAGCTAGGGACACTGGAAGTACTTGTAAGGCTATTTGTTAAGATTGCATGAAATACTAAAAAGTCATGAAATCCATTATTTTTGTGCTAGCTTCACCTTAGAGTAAAATGACAAATAAAGTCACTGAAGCAATGAATTCAACAGGGTGAAAAAAGAGGTGAGATCTCACCACTTCACCTAAATTTATTTTTGTGCTATGTTTTCATACGTGTGAGGGTGGTGATATCATTTATTTTTAAGTTTATTTTTTATTTTATTTTTTATTTTATTTTTTATTTTATTTGGATGTAATGACGAAAACTATTGAGATAACAAACTACAACGGTCATGAGTTCAAGAACTTGTTCTTCGTTCCTCGTGAAAATACATTCTATCAGATACGAGGGAGAAAGGGTAAAGTTAGTTTAAGCATTTATGATAGCAAACATAATGGAAGATATATACAAGCAGTAGATACAAACGGTAAGCGTGTTTCATTACATTTGTCAAAACTTATAAACATTAATTATGACAGCGACTTTGACTCAGACGATTGGAGCGACAGTAGTGATACTGAAGATTATGAGCTGTTATGTGAAGCACAGCAATGGAAAGAGTTGCAATACTTTTGTAAATGAGAACGTTAGTGAGAACGTTAGTGAGAACGTTAGTGAGAATGTTAGTGAGAACGTTTATTTTTTCATTAGTGAAGTCGTTAGTGAGGTGAAGTGGTTGGTGGTTTTGTAAATATTTAAGGTTAAGTTAGTGTTGTCGTTTGTGTTGTAAAATATACGTTAGTGGTTTTGTAAAGTGTCAGATTGACATATCTTCAGTAAGGAGGCGCGCAGTGCCGCCGTACCCAAGACTTGTATACTAACTGTAGTCATAAAAGTGGTCCTTCTTTTGTGATATGATTCAAATTTGAATGTGGATGATAAATAAAAATCAAAAATAATTGTTATAATTTAAATGAAGAAGTAATTTAAAACGATTTTATTTATGATCAAATTTTATATATTTTTTCGGATCAAATCCATTTTAATAGAATTTATATACTATTCATCTATTAGTAAACACTACCGTATATTATTTTTTAAGCTATCTTATTTTTTGAACTTTTATTCAAATCTTTGGTCGCAAGAAGAATTGCATGATAAATAAAAACATTTAATCAAAGTCAATTTTATTTTTCATATTCAAATGGACTGAGTGTTAACATTTAACATTTTTTGCTAATTGTCGTCAAAAATTAGGCGTAAAGCAAAAATTGATATTTCATATGGTTTTATGATAGATAAGCATTATATTCCCACTCATTATATTCGTAAATTTTGAGGTTTATCCTTCGCTTTTAAGATCATTGAATTTGATTTTTATATAAAATAGTTATATATTAGAAAATAATATGAGTTTATGTGATATTATTTTTCAGAAGATTTTGTGTTCTTCTTCAAAATTTTATTTTTTTATTAAAAAGAATCTTTACAAAATATACATTTACTTTAATTAATATTTAAAAACGTGCTCTATCAAAAGTTCCAAAAATTCAATATTTTAGCTTTTCTGAGGTGTCACTTTTGATGAATTTCTGTTTACAACAGGTGCACTGTAATCGGTTTGATACTCCCACTTTTTTCTTTGGTTTCGAGATATTTTTTCCATGATTTTTATGGATATGATATATGGTAGTATAGCGATATATGATCAATCAAAATATCTAAAAAATACTTCCTCTAAGGCCAATGAAAAATTGAGCGTTTTTAAAAACCCGCCGTTTGAGAGGAAATTTGAGAACTTCGATGTATACTTTTTGACATTGTCAAAAACTTTGAAAGGACCAAAATTTTTTAGTGTCAGAAAGTTTACAAATGTATACTTTCTAAAGAACAGACCATCAGAAAGTACTCAAACTGCGGTATTTAATTTCCGCACTTTTTTTTGGCTTTTGCAAACCGACTACAGTCCGCCCTTAAAGAACTACCCTAAGTTTCTGAAATAGATTTCAAAAGAGATATCCTTAGTCTAAATGTTGAGAAAGTAAAGTATGAGATGTTCAAACAGACAAGTGCATTTGCTTGAAATATTATTAAAAGTTAAAAAAAATGAATTTTAAAATAAGTATATGATGGAATTAATCGGCACAAATAGTTTTTAAGTAGCCTTAAACTTTGCCTGTTGCACCCATCAGTGGGGTTTCCCAGAACTATCCTATGTTTCTTTATTAGCTCCAACTGAGATAAGATATTGAACAATGTTAAGTTGATCATATTGTGATGCATATTTGAGTGGAGTAAGTCCACTATTATCCTTTGCTTCTTTATTAGTTCCAATTGAGATAAGATATTGAACAACGCCAAGTTTACCATTTCGTGATGCCCAAATGAGTGGAGTAGATCCAAAATCATTCTTTGCTTCTTTATTAGCTCCAACAGAGATAAGATATTGAACAACTTCAAGTTTGCCATTTTGTGATGCATAAATGAGTGGAGTACATCCATTACTATTCTTTGCTTCTTTGTCACAACCACATTCGATGAGTGATCGAACAAGTCTGAGATTTCCGTTTTCGCTTGCAAAATGAAGAACAGTCCTATCAGGCTCCCAATTATACTCTTTAGGAGCAATCTTTTTCCAAAGTCCTGCTTCGATTGATTTTGAAATCATTTCATGGTTTCCTTTCGAAGAAAGTTCAATAAGGAATCTATAAACGGTTCCAAAATCATTAGATTCCGTAAGTTCTGCGATTTTAGCTAAAATATCTTGTGAATGATGGTAATTTTCATTAGTTGCATTGGTAGTTGTATATTTGGTTGCATTTTCACTTGCATTTTGAAATGCTTTAGATTTATCTTGAACTATTTCTGTTTCGTTAGCAGAATTGTTTATTACTTTCTCATTATGTTTTAGAAAATCAATAATGCCATCAAATATATTGAATTTCATGTATTTTTTGAGAGATTTGAGAATTGAAACGACTTCTTCGAAGTTTTTGATAGTAATATTTGCTTTTCGTGTACAGTTATATAATTCTTTTGTATTGATAGTTGATGATGATTGTTTGAGAAGAGTAACGAATTGATCAGCTGTCAAACGTGAATATTTCATGATTGTTTTGATATCTTCGATATCAAATGTATCGAAGAAGTTTTCTTTATTAATATAATCGCTGATATGAGCTGCAATATATTCGAAATTCAGATCCATGCCCTGTTTGCTTTTTGAAAAAAAAATCGTAACTTTACAAAACATCCGAATAAAATTTAAAATCAAATTTGGGTCGTTATCGATTTTGTAATTTAATCGTTATCGTTATCGATTTTGTAATTTAATCGTTATCGTCTTTTTCTAAACGTGCATTTTCTTCATATTGGGATAATGAACATAACTTGTTCTGAGCTTCCAATGCACAAATCGTTTTTATTCTAAATAGATTCATTCCTACAAGTTTGGCAGAAATCAGTGAATATCATCATATATCGAATTCTTCAATTTGGCAATTTATTTAAAATCGTTCTCAAGAATTCTTATCTTCATGTAGTCAAATAAAACGGAAATGCGAAAACAAACTTTTATTCGATATTACAAAAAAAAAATTATATTGATCGCTAAGATTTAAATACGTATAGTTTAAGTATATGTGGTATCATTATGTGCATATTCTGATATATATACTTGAATGATATCACAAAAATAACAGAAATACAAATCTTGAATTAAATTATATCATAGAATACAATTTTAATAAACGAAAAATCAAACCCTCTCGCAATACAGCCATTTTTAAGAGTAGTTCTTTCAAGATCTTCGAAGATTTGGAAGATCTTGGAAGAACTGCCCTCTAAATGGCTGTAGCTTCGGTATTGTTACTATCAAGTAGAAAGTTACGGTAATTACTGCCATTTTAAGAGTAGTTCTTTCAAGATCTTCGAAGATTTGGAAGATCTTGGAAGAACTGCCCTCTAAATGGCTGTAGCTTCGGTATTGTTACTATCAAGTAGAAAGTTACGGTAATTACTGCCATTTTAAGAGTAGTTCTTTCAAGATCTTCGAAGATTTGGAAGATCTTGGAAGAACTGCCCTCTAAATGGCTGTAGCTTCGGTATTGTTACTATCAAGTAGAAAGTTACGGTAATTACTGCCATTTTAAGAGTAGTTCTTTCAAGATCTTCCAAATCTTCGAAGATCTTGAAAGAACTGCTCTCTAAATGGCAGTAGTTTCGATGTTAACATGATAATATGAGTGAAATTTTCTTATTTGAAGTCGGTTAAAGAGCAGTTCTTTCAAGTTCCTTCAAATCAGGAAGGGTCTTGACAGAACTGTCCTCTTATTGATTGGAATACCGGTATTTTACGTTGGTAAATGCTTGATTTGAATTGATGGGGGCTGAGTGTTGGAGAAAAAAAAACATTAAAAAAATAAAAAGTGCCAAAATAAAAGAATTCAATCTACATATATATAGTATTTCTAGGCCTGTCCAAACTTTTAAAAAAGCTTACCACGTGGAAGGAAGAGACCAAAAAAATCGTGCCTCGGCGGCTTCGCCGCCTCGGCACTAAAAACAGCATATCATATTTAATATGTCCTTTTTTCTTTTTCTCTTTTCCTCTTTCTCTCTCTTCTTTTCTTTCTTCTCTTTTTCCTTCTTTTCTTCTCACTTTCTTTTTGGAGCTGCTTTACTTTGAAATCTCTCATCAATTGATGAGAGAAATAATAGTAAAGTAGCTTCAATGTAAATACGTACATTGATTGGGTTATGGTTAGCGGTAATGTCTGTATGTAGTTCGATTGGAGCTGCCTCACTCTGAGATCTCTCATCAAATGAAGAGAGTTCTCAGAGTGAGGCAGCTCCAATGTATATGTGCGTATTGATTGGGTTGCTGTAAGAAGCAGTGCTTGTGTGTAGTTCGATTGGAACTGCTTTACTCTGAGATCTGTCATCAATCGATGAGAGTTCTCAGAGTAAAACTGTTCCAATGTGTAATCTTGTGCTAGCTTGTCTGTTCGATTGGAACTGCTTTACTCTGAGTTCTCTCATCAATTGATGAGAGAAATAAGAGCAAAGTAGCTCCAATGTATATATTGTATTGATTCGGTTTGGTTAGCTGGACTGTCTGTGAGTAGTTCGATTGAACTGCCTCATTCTGAGATCTCTCATCAATAGATGAGAGAAATAAGAGTAAGGCAGTTCCAATGTATATAATCGTATTGATTTGGTTGCTTTAAGTTGGAGTGTTTGTGCGTAGTTCGGTTAGAACTGCTTTGCTCTGAGAACTCTCATCGATTGATGAGAGTTCTCAGAGCAAAGCAGCTCCAATGTGTAAATTTGTATTAGTTCGGGTGAAAGAAGTTGTAGTGCTGGTGCGTAGTTTGACTATCAAGAAGCTCGCGATTCAAAACTCATCAAATGAAAAGTTTATAGTGGGCTTCTTGATAATATGTTAAAGGTGATGTTCTTGTTCGAGTTGTAACAAGAAGGAATACATGAGTACGTAAGCTCGGCATTCGCCGAGCGAATTAAAGATAACGGACGAATTTAATTTATTTTATTTCAAAATTTAAAATTTTAATATTTAATTATATAAATTAAAATAAACATTTTTACAAATTTTTATAAAAAAATATGTGACATATCGTTTTACCACAATTCAAAATAATTAATGTTGATAAATGTATTTAATATGTAATATTAAACATATTTTGCGCGAGAAGTGAGTTGTGGTAACTTTCGTGGATATCCATCGTTCATTTTATGGTAAAAATTCTCAATTTGTGGGAAAAGTTCTCAATTTTGTGGTAATTTTTATGTACCACAACTCAATTTGTGGTCACTTCATCTTACCACGTGGTAAGTTTTTATAAAACTCTTTATTTACCATTGATTTCTGATTTAATATCAATATCTTGAATAATCAAGCATATCTATCGCTTTAAATTTTATTCTCTAATTCCAAAAAAAATTCAAAAATCAAAAAATGAAAAAAATATTTAGAATTTTTTCCGTCAAAAATAAAAAATGTTCCCACTGAGTGGTTTCCATGGAAAGTTACCACTGGGTCCCACAGGGATTGGCCTAAGTATTTCTTAATAGAATGTGAAATAAAGTAAAATTAACTATATTCAAAATGGAAAAAAATCCAAAAAAATTTTGAAAAAAAGAATTTCATGATAAAAAGCATAAATTTTGCATCAGAAAATTAAATTCAGGTATTTTTGTGAAATAGAAAGAGTCCTAAAATTAGTTAAAAATCATTTTTTATTCAAAAGAAACGCTATTTTTAAGGAATTGAAAAGAATTTTATTTAATAATATTTTATTTATAGAATTTGCATATATCATATGCATAGACATATTGAATTGTAAACATGAGAACACTAATTACATTAACTTGTCGTTCAAATTATTGCATCGAGAAAAAAGTGCTATAAATTTACTCAATTAGTTTACAAACGTAAATATTTGGCATAAACTTTACGTTTGTAAACTAATTTGGTAAACTCGTAGTTCAAATTATTGCATCGAGAAAAAAAGTGCTATAAATTTACTCAATTAGTTTACAAACGTAAATATTTGGCATAAACTTTACGTTTGTAAACTAATTTGGTAAACTCGTAGTTCAAATTATTGCATCAAGAAAAAAAGTGCTATAAATTTACTCAATTAGTTTACAAACGTAAATATTTGGCATAAACTTTACGTTTGTAAACTAATTTGGTAAACTCGTAGTTCAAATTATTGCATCGAGAAAAAAAGTGCTATAAATTTACTCAATTAGTTTACAAACGTAAATATTTGGCATAAACTTTACGTTTGTAAACCAATTTGATTAAATTTAGTAAATTTTAGTTCGAATGCAAGTTTTCTCGGTAAATCATTTTTTAGACCTCAAATGAGATGTATGATCATATGAGTCACATATGATTTAATCCAAATATGTGTGAGAATTGAGTTTAAAACGAAGTTTATTTTTTGGACTATATTTCGCCATTTTAAAATGTGTAATAATGATATAATTCGCATGAAATTGAAAAATATTGACTGGATGTGTAATGGTTTTATAATTGCAATGTTGATTTGATCGAATTTAAATGAATATATAACGCGATGAAATTTCGAATTGCTCAAATGTCTGTAATTCATATATGGTGCACATATTAATATTACATTTCGTTGATATTTACCACATAAACCTTTAAATATTAAGTCATTTTAAAGTTATATGCGATTTAGTTCCAAAATGCACGTTTAGAAATAGACGATAACGATTAAATTACAAAATCGATAACGACCCATCAAATTTGAATCAAATGCTGTTCAAGATTAAAAGCAAAAATACTAGAAAATTACAAAACGGCTGAAAAGTGTTATATTTAATTCAAAATTTAAACTCTCTTTTTATAGTGACCGTCAACAAGTCAATAAAATAAATTGCACAGTTGTGTTTAATGGATTGCTCATGCCTCAACTAAAGATTTGTATTATAATTCAGAATTTTTAATTTGAGATGGCTGATATTATGTGATAATAACTTTAAAAACCAAGCACCTAAGTTGGTGAAAGTAGGGATAGTATTGGAATTCCTATATTTATTATGAAAATCTTAAAATGATTTTTTGTAAATACGATATAATAAAAACTTTAGTGAATGTTGGTAAAACAAATAAAATTTATGCATGCTCAACTAACCAGTTGACAACAGAGTCTAAATGTGTTTTTTCTTTGGCGGAAATTGTGAATAAAGCAACATCATGTCCCTCGATTTCAGATAAACGAAGTCTTTCGATAAGCTTTGCAGCTGGAAGTGCATCCTTAAGATCTTCTTTGTTTCCGCAAATTAAAATTGGAACTTTTCCAACGCTTTCATCTTTGGCGAGATTATGCAATTGAATGATACTTTCTGCTATTGCTTCTTCATCTGCTGCATCCAAAATGTAAAGAATTGCGTTTGCATTTTGACAATATGTAGGCCAGAGGAATTGGAACTGTTTATGTCCTCCAATATCCCATGCCTTAATTTGTACACGACCTTTTGTGAATGTATTTGTTTCAACGCCAATTGTTGGAACAACATCTTCTGTAGGCTTTCCCATTAACGCTCTAATAAGAGTTGACTTGCCTGCATTTGATAATCCGAGGATTGTGATTGACATTTCTTTATTCCAGAACAAAGAAAGAAGCCACTCCCAGATTCTACTGAAAAATCCCATTCTAGAAATGAGTTTAAGGTTCGATATGTGATATGAAATTTCATAAATTGCAACATCGTAACTCCATAACCTAACAGCTATCAATAGATATAATGTTGCATGCTAAGTAGTGTCAATGTGTAAACCTCTCAATTTTATCGTCGGGGAAGCAACACAATTCCCTCAAAAATATTGAAAAAATATAGAAAATAAAATGAATTAAGATGTACTTAAAATGAGAAATAGATTATGATATTAGATTTTAGAAAAAACAGACTTTTGATCTAACTTTTGAGAATCTCATATAAAAAAAACATTTAAAAATAAATTTAAATATCTTATTTATTTTACTATTGTAAATATATTCTGAGATTTTTAGAAAAAAACACTTTTCATAAGTATTCAATATTTGAGAATACGGTCCAAAAAAAAATAGATTCTCTTATATTTGCTTATATAAAAGGAGACTCTCTATCAGATGCGAATGCATGAATTCAGCACCTTTGATAGAGAGTTTCCTCTTATATAAGCGGATCTTTTTCATGAGTTATTGTTAATATAAAAACATAAAAAGCTACGAATATGAGAAATTAAACCCTGCGAGGTGCCAGTCTAGAACTGGCGCTTCGCAGGGTTTAATTTCTCTTGACAAATGACAAAACTTGTTCGCAATTGTGAACCATTGCGAGCAAGTTTGCCAGATATCTGGAAGGAATTGCTCCTTATGATATATGCATTGTAACTGTATATATCATAAAGAGCAATTCCTTCAATTAAACGCAAAAACTTTGGTGCAATCGTTGCTGATTGCACCAAAGTTTTCGAACTTTCCCGAGGGAATTGGAGGGTGAGAGATACATAGTCTATCTATGTACCTCCCACCCCCCAAATCCCACTCTAAATGGGAGAAACTTTGTTCGCATGTTATCTTATTCAAACAAAGTTTCTCCCATTTAGAGAAGGAATAGGAGCCTACCAGGCACTGATATATAATCAGTGCATTGTAGGCTCCTATTCCTAATAAAAATTTGAAAACTTTGGAGCATTTGATTATTGTATTTTGTCAAGAGAAATTCAACCCTGCGAAGTGCCAGTTCTAGACTGGTGCCTCGCAGGGTTTAATTTCTCATATTGGTAGATTTTGATGTTTTTATATTAACAAAAACGAATGAAAAAGATTTGCTTATATAAGAGGAAACTCTCTATCAAAGGTGCTGAATTCATGCATTCGCATCTGATAGAGAGTCTCCTTTTATATAAGCAAATATAAGAGAATCTATTTTTTTTTGGACCGTATTCTCAAATATTGAATACTTATGAAAAGTGTTTTTCCTAAAAATTTAATATAATGCTTAGCACAATATATAAAATTAAAATATCTATAATTATTTTCTATATCACACTTTTCATTACACCTTGAAAAGTCTTCTCAAACTCTATTTTTAATTATTTTTTAGATATATCTCAGGTGTGATTATTCAAAAACTCATATAGACTATATTTATTTTTTCATTCAAAAAATTATATGAGAATCTCAAATTAACTTTCAAATTTTTTATTTTAAAAACATATTAATAATCATATTTTAAGATACTTTTCGCCCAAAAAATAATCGTACTTCCTCGACGATTAAAAGGATCTCAATTTCTATCGTTGACACTACTTAGCATGCAACAATTTTTATCAATTATATGTCTGATTTTTTCTACCTTATTGATGTCTCTATGGTTAAAAATGGCTAATTTAAAGAACCTTTCGCTCATACAAGACTTAATTCATATTTTGCTGGCAAATTTTTTAATGAAATTCTTAAAAATATAAAAAAAAGAATGAAGTAATGAAAAAAAGTTTTCATAATATAGTGCTCTTTATTTCTTATCCTTCTTCTCTTCGTCTTCTGGCTTCTTATGCTGAGCTTCCCACATAGCCTTAGAGATTGTTCTCTTCATCTCATCATCGCCTTCATCGTAAAGCTTCTTCATCATGTTCATGAGTGCAGCGTTTGGATTCTCCTTAGCATCAACATCATCTTCTGGCTTCTTCTTTTCTTCCTTCTTTGGTGTAAGGGATGTATCCTTAAGCTTCATCCATGTCTCCTCTTTCTTCTTAGCAAGGATAACTGTAAGTGTCTCACGGCGGATCTTGTATGTTGAATCAGCTGGGACAATCTCCTTGATTGGAGAAACAACGAGCTTGAGGTTTGGAAGGTTCTGTTCCTCACGGATGACAGCGATTGAGAAGCCGTTTTTTTGTGGCTCGAACTCGATCTTGGCCTGTTCAAGACCGCGGATTTCTCTGATCATGATTTCTGCTGTCTTCTTGCTATCAGAGAATGCATAGGATGTGATAGACTGGTATCTACGAACTGGAGCTGCTGGCTTGGCTGGTTCTGGTGCCTTGACTGTAGCGAATTTTGGTTCAATCTTCTGAATCTCAGCCTTAAGGAGTGCCTCAACGTATGGTGTTGATCCTAAGCCAAGAAGCCTCTTGAGCTCTGTAAGATCGTCCAATGTTGGTTCCATCAATATATGAAATGAAGTAAAGTGTTCGGCCATTTAGCGATTATTTTCAATTCCAAAAAAATTGATTTCTTTATAATTGGATATTTTAATCATTTGCATGGTAAAATGATTGTTAAACAGAAATTTTGACGTTTACGGGCGTAAATAAAGTCTGACTGCGGTTTATCCAAAGTTAAGATTCGTTCTGTACAGTATAGTACGATTGTATTCAAAATCTGGAAATTCTTGAAATAACGAAATGGAAAAATAATTTCATATCCGATAATAAGCCTTGCTATTAATTAAACAAAATGAATATCTGCTGGAGTAGATATATTGTAGCAACTTAGATCACTTTACAAACTAAATTTGAATCGAAATTGGAACCAAATTTAAACAATTTTCTTATTTCTTTCTGATATACATTGGTCCCAGCTGAAAATATTATCAGGCCACTATGTCTCATTGATGAATCTAATGAAATTTTGGGAAATTTTCTGGTTTCTGGCTTTATTTTGATTAGAAATAAATTATTGTTTTGTGAAAGATAAATTTGTAAGATGATATCGAAACTGATATTTGAAAACCCTTTACAGAGAAAAAAAATTAAAAAATGCACGGAAGTGGTTACCACAGTAAACCTGGTGGTAGCTACAATGAAAACTCACATCAAAGAGGTCGTGCAAACAAATCATTAGAGTTTATAAACTCAAAACATGATCAATTCGGTCGAAGTACTTTGGATAATATTCCATATAGGTCAAATGATCAGTTTTATGTCTCAGCATCGCCACGAAAATACTCTTTTGGTTATTCCTATAGTTCTTACGACAGTTATGACTATTATTCCGATTATTATTCATCAGTAACTCATGGTTACTCTTCAAGTCCAAGACAAACATACGAAACAGGTGGTGATGAACTACCTTCTGTGTATTTTGATTCAGATGTTGAAGAAAATTCAAAATTGAATACATCGAAAACCTTAGAAAGTTCGTCATCAAAATCTGTTTCACAGACTTCCACAGTTAGTATACCAATTTTTAGATTTCCTTCTGAATCAAAAAGTTCAAGAAACTCAAATTCGAAATCGAATACTACAAAAAGCACGAAAGGTCATTACAAACCGCCACCTTTAAAAGAATTTACCAATGTATATTCAACAACAGATACAGAATCGACATTACCTCCAAAACCAAAACAAGATTTATTATCTCCTGCTCCAGGATTTATTTTACATCTTGACACACCATCTGAGATAGATCACACAGACTATGGACACCCTATACGACCGAGAAATGTTAAGCCTCGCAAGCCACCGCCAATTTTACAGGAAGAACAAAAGAAAAAGAACACTCATACACCTGTTTACGAAGCGCCTCTACAAAAGATTGCAGAATCATACAGAAAAGCAGCCCAAGAAGAACAGAAAAAAGAAAATGCGAAAACCACTCCAATTATTCCGAAAATTACTCCAAACAATCCACCGCCGGTTGAAGCAATAGATCAAATACCGAAGCAGAAGAAGACAAAACCGCAAAAAGTGGTTACTCTTGATGAAATTAAAGAAATCAAAGAAAAAACTATTCCGAAACAGACTCCAATCAAGGCAGACACTCCTAAATCAATAGACATAATAGAAGAGAAGCCAAAACCAAAGAAACCGAAGAAAAACAAAAAACAGAAAAAGAATTACGAAGAACCAATCGTAATTTTCACAGATAGTCAGTCAGTTCAATCTACACAGAGCATAAAAACACAACCAATCATTCAACTTATATCTGAACAGAAAAGTGACAATAAGGAACCAAAAAGTGACAAAAAAGAAACAAAAACAACAGATAATAACAAAACATATAATGATGCAAAAAGTGTTGCAAATTATAGACCAAAAAGTGAAATTAAAGATAATGACTTCAAAACTGACATTAACGAAATCAAAAGTGACAAGTACGATGCAAAAAGTGTCATGAATGTCAAAAAATATAAAACTCTCACAGATACTAAAAATAATGATGATATCAAATCACTTGATCTTACAAAAAGTGACAAAAATAAATCTTCTAATGATAATGAACCAAAAATTAAAACTAATGACGATACAAAAAGTGTCAAAAATAAGATAGTTACTGATAATGATAAAAATGATGAAAATGATCATAAATCAACTGTTGATGTTCATTATATTAATGTAGAAAATTCAGAAAGTGAAATAACCAGACAAAAACAAAATCAACTTCAGATAAAACTTGATGGAAAAGTTGAATTTAATAATCGAAGCGGTTTTGCTCTTGATAAAATCATGAATTCCGAACATGACGAATTAGATGATGATTCTTTCTTCAAGGATTCAATGACAGGAAAGCACATGGCAGATGAAGATGATGTTGTTGAATTAGAGAGTCCTTTCATGTTCCAGAAACAATTTTTCTCTCCAAATCAAACAGAAGACAATTCCCTTTCTCTGAATACAAACCAAACAAACAGAGCTGTCGCTGAAACAATTTCTACAATATCAAAGCCAAATGATGATGATTTGGACGCAAAATCTTTGTTCGTAATCAAAGTTCAAACACCAAAGAAAAATGATGATACAAAAAGTGTCAAGTCAACATTTGTCAAAAAGTCAAAACACTCAAAACACAAATCAACGGCTGATGAAACAAAAAGTGACAGTAGAGAGCCAAAAAGTGGCATCAGGGAAATTAAAAGTGACAATAAATTACCATCACCAAAATTTGAAGAACCAAAGACAGAAATTGATCAAATTAAACCTAAGAAATCTGACGGAATTAAATCGAAATCTTCTCAAGAAAGCCTGCCAAAAGTTCAAAAGAATGATTCTATTTATTATGAATCTGATGAATCAATGAACTTAAATTTGGATGAGTTATTAAGAAAGTATAAGAAGCAAAATGTGACATTAGAAGTAAATGATAATGAAGGAGTTGGTTCGTATTTGCAAGAGCCACCAAAATCTGCAAGAGTTCTGTCGAAACCTGTTGAAATGGATGATTCTAGAAGTCATAAAAGCCATAAACATTACGATGTTCCTGAAACAATACAGAGTGTATTGCCGACAATGGACAGTGAAGTTAAAAGTGCATTCCGATGGGAATATTATCAAGAAACTGTTCCAAATGTCGAGAAAAGTCAATTAATGGATAAAAATGATAAATTATTGCCATCTATTCCAAATCCATCGGAACCAGTCTTAGGATGGTTGAAATTCCAAGTTGGCTTCATTCCTATTTGTGACAACAGTGAAAGCATCCAAAAAGCTTCTCAAATATATGATTTTGAATCTTTGTTGAAAGAAATGAGAAAAGAATAACATGTTGTTTATATTTGTTTTGTATTTTTTTATATTTTTATATTAATAAAAGGAAAATAAGTTCTTTTAAAATAGATATCTATTGTTTCTCTTAGTGAGTTTGCGAATTAGAGCTTGCTTCTCTATATTATATTTACCCATAGATATTCACAATGAATAAATGATATCATAATAGATTTTCTTTCTAAGTGATTCTTGAGAAATAGAAATAAATAACTCGAATCATATTCTGAAAAGGGTAAAATAATATTTAATATATAAGATATATTCGTCGATTAAGTTAAAGGTTAGTTATTTCATGGAAATAATTATAAAGAATAAATAATCTCAATTTAAATAAATTCACTTTAGATAACGAATATATTTATTACCCCAAAGAGTGTAAATTCATAACAATTGGTTAATAAACTCGAATATTATTTAAAAAAATATATAATAAAAATAAGAAAACAGCGGTAGGGATTTTAAGATTTCAATCCCATTTATTAATGAAGGAATATATTTTTGATGAATTTTAAAATCAATTCTTTAAAAAAATTGAAACAAAATTGTAATTGATATAAAAGATATGAAATGTCCTTCCTAATTATTAAAATGTGAAGATTGTAAAAATGACCGCTAAAATATGAAAAAAGAATTAGAAAAAATAAGTCCAAAATTAACGTAGTGATGTTATGTAAATGTTATAATTGTAATAAACAGAAATTCATCAAAAGTGACAGCTCTCAATTTTTTGACATTTGTAAATTCTAAATTGAATGAGAAAAATGAAATAATACTAAGCATAATACAATATTCTAGATTTAATTATAATTAGGAAAAAGTTAGTTTTGAGAGTACTTTTCATAGGCATATAGAATGAAATCTTCTGAAAAATAATATCACATAAACTCATATTATTTTCTAATATATAACTATTTTATATAAAAATCAAATTCAATGATCTTAAAAGCGAAGGATAAACCTCAAAATTTACGAATATAATGAGTGGGAATATAATGCTTATCTATCATAAAACCATATGAAATATCAATTTTTGCTTTACGCCTAATTTTTGACGACAATTAGCAAAAAATGTTAAATGTTTTTATTTATCATGCAATTCTTCTTGCGACCAAAGATTTGAATAAAATTTCAAAAAAATAAGATAGCTTAAAAAAATATACGGTAGTGTTTACTAATAGATGAATAGTATATAAATTCTATTAAAATGGATTTGATCCAAAAATATATAAAATTTGATCATAAATAAAATCGTTTTAAATTACTTCTTCATTTAAATTATAACAATTATTTTTGGTTTTATATTTTTTTGGATCAAATCCATTTTAATAGAATTTATATACTATTCATCTATTAGTAAACACTACCGTATATTATTTTTAAGCTATCTTATTTTTTTGAAATTTTATTCAAATCTTTGGTCGCAAGAAGAATTGCATGATAAATAAAAACATTTAACATTTTTTGCTAATTGTCGTCAAAAATTAGGCGTAAAGCAAAAATTGATATTTCATATGGTTTTATGATAGATAAGCATTATATTCCCACTCATTATATTCGTAAATTTTGAGGTTTATCCTTCGCTTTTAAGATCATTGAATTTGATTTTTATATAAAATAGTTATATATTAGAAAATAATATGAGTTTATGTGATATTATTTTTCAGAAGATTTTGTGTTCTTCTTCAAAATTTTATTTTTTATTAAAAAGAATCTTTACAAAATATACATTTACTTTAATTAATATTTAAAAACGTGCTCTATCAAAAGTTCCAAAAATTCAATATTTTAGCTTTTCTGAGGTGTCACTTTTGATGAATTTCTGTTTACAACATAATCACGATCAATGTCACTGACCAAACCAATTATTGTTGAGATTCAACATTTTAATTCTTACCGTTTAGAACGGATTTTGTCCAAATTTGAATGATTTACATAAAGAAAATATTTGAATGCCATTTCAAAAGTTTGAATTTAAATTAAAAATGAGATTATATTAGATAGATTAGACATTGATTTGAAAGAACTTTTGTCCCGAGAAAAATACGAATTCAATTAACGATCCTTTCGAAATTTGAAAATTTATTAGTGTTACTAATGTTGGTTATGACTGATAATCAATCTCAGAAAACTGAAAAAAATACATATTGGTATAAAAAAGAAATGTAAATTTGTGGTAGTCTAATTTGATCAAATACATATTGGTATAAGTCAGAAATTTGAAAAGACATTAGTCAAATGGTCAATCAATGTTTGAGCAATAAAATTTTAAATAATGGAACAATGTATTCACATCACAGAGCTAAAAATAACAGAATTTATAAATTGAAGTTGAACCACAAATTATTTTTGATTTGATCAAACATGTTCCTAAAGATTTGTTTAAAATATTTGAGATTTACGAGATTTTATAACCGTAAATACATTCAATAATTTATCTAAACAATTACGAAAATTTGTACAAAATATATTTATATGGATTACTCATTTGGAAAATCAATAATCTAATTCATTTTTTAAATTGAATAATATCAAAATTCAATAGTAATCAAATTTAAATAGATTCAGAGATGAGTTCCGATCAAGATGACTCGCCGAAGCCAAGGCATAGACACAATAAATGGTCTACATCTGAAGATAACATGCTCAAGTCACTTGTACAATCATCCAAAAAACTGAATTGGTTCGAAATTTCACGTAAAATGCAAAATAGGAATCCTCGTCAATGCCAAGAAAGATGGGAGTATTATTTATCCCCTTTTGTTAATAATTCCCCTTGGACACCGCAGGAAGATGCCCTACTGTTGCAAAAATTCAAAGAATTTGGGTCAAGATGGACTGTAATTGCAAGATTCTTTTATAATAGGACCAATACTAATGTAAAAAATAGATTCCTTGCAATGGTGCGGAATTCAAACCAACTTCAGCAGATGAAAGTTTTGGATGAAGTATCTTCTCCATGTGATAAGGTATTATTTCCAAATATATCGGATCTTGATGCATCATTGCCACAGATCTATCTTGATAAGTTTGCGATGATGGATTCTCTCCATTTTTTATCTGTTTTAAATTAGAGTGTTTTTATAAATTGTATATTTAGGTCTTCTTCCCTTTTTGATGTGTTATTGTTAAAATCTGTTCTTATCTCTAGAGAATCAGTAAATAAGTAATATCCAAAAAAATTCTTTGAACAATTTGCGGACTCAATTGAGAACGTAATGTCTTTTCAGCTTTTTTCTCATGGCATAAAATTAAATCCAAGTTCTGCATGTCTAGACTTGATATAACAAAATATTTGAATTTTTAAGCAGTTAGCATTTTATCGCAAGCACAAAGACTCTATTCCATTAGTTTTGTTGTAAACAGAAATTCATCAAAAGTGACACCTCAGAAAAGCTAAAATATTGAATTTTTGGAACTTTTGATAGAGCACGTTTTTAAATATTAATTAAAGTAAATGTATATTTTGTAAAGATTCTTTTTAATAAAAAATAAAATTTTGAAGAAGAACACAAAATCTTCTGAAAAATAATATCACATAAACTCATATTATTTTCTAATATATAACTATTTTATATAAAAATCAAATTCAATGATCTTAAAAGCGAAGGATAAACCTCAAAATTTACGAATATAATGAGTGGGAATATAATGCTTATCTATCATAAAACCATATGAAATATCAATTTTTGCTTTACGCCTAATTTTTGACGACAATTAGCAAAAAATGTTAAATGTTTTTATTTATCATGCAATTCTTCTTGCGACCAAAGATTTGAATAAAATTTCAAAAAAATAAGATAGCTTAAAAAATAATATACGGTAGTGTTTACTAATAGATGAATAGTATATAAATTCTATTAAAATGGATTTGATCCAAAAAATATAAAACCAAAAAATAATTGTTATAATTTAAATGAAGAAGTAATTTAAAACGATTTTATTTATGATCAAATTTTATATATTTTTTGGATCAAATCCATTTTAATAGAATTTATATACTATTCATCTATTAGTAAACACTACCGTATATTATTTTTTAAGCTATCTTATTTTTTTGAAATTTTATTCAAATCTTTGGTCGCAAGAAGAATTGCATGATAAATAAAAACATTTAACATTTTTTGCTAATTGTCGTCAAAAATTAGGCGTAAAGCAAAAATTGATATTTCATATGGTTTTATGATAGATAAGCATTATATTCCCACTCATTATATTCGTAAATTTTGAGGTTTATCCTTCGCTTTTAAGATCATTGAATTTGATTTTTATATAAAATAGTTATATATTAGAAAATAATATGAGTTTATGTGATATTATTTTTCAGAAGATTTCATTCTATATGCCTATGAAAAGTACTCTCAAAACTAACTTTTTCCTAATTATAATTAAATCTAGAATATTGTATTATGCTTAGTATTATTTCATTTTTCTCATTCAATTTAGAATTTACAAATGTCAAAAAATTGAGAGCTGTCACTTTTGATGAATTTCTGTTTATTACACAGTGATTTGCTTTTCCATCTCTTAATTAACCATATTATTTTTATTGTAATTTGAATCAATAATTAATTTTGAAATCTTATTTGCCAGAGAATCGTTAAAGTTTTTGCATTAAATTGATTGTTTTCACCTAAATGTGATGTTTAATTCAATTATAAAATGTCATAATTTGATAAAACTTTCAATCTTCCATAATTGGAGCCAACATAGCATCAAATCGAGATAATGTAAGTACAAGTGCTGTTTTGTATAAATGAAATATATCATTTTTTATGAATCAAATTTTATGTGATATCCTCAACTCCATTATTACATCATATACCGATAATCTCACAAAAAATGATTTGAAAGTATCGATATTAAGTAGTAAATTTGAAATGAAAGACCTAAAGCTATACAAATATTCATTACTTCAACATGATTTACCATTAATTGCCGAAAATTGCATAATCAGAAACATTTCTTCATACCTTCCTTGGACAAGCATGATGAAAGACCCGATTGTCGTGAATATTACTGATGTTCGCTTTTATATCAAATCATTATTTGGTGATAAAGATGAAATGCCGCATCATAGCGTTTTAAAAGAAATTAGGGAGCATCAATTACTTGCTCATGAGCAATATAAAACTCAAGTTGGTCGACTTTTGATGTTAATATCACCTAAAAATATAAAAAGCATGCTTTTCGGTTTTGTTTCGCAGATGAAAATCAAAATAGAACGTATTAACATTGTCATTGCAATTGGAGATTATCATTTAGGAATTTTAATTAAAGAAATCGAAATTACTGATCCTGTTCAGAAGATCGATAAGACCACCAGGTTAGTCAAGCTTAATGGGATAAGCGCTTACCTTGATAAAAATGAAGAATTGATCAACACAACAGAAAATGCAATTTTCATTCAGCAAATGAACAACATTTACAACGAAAATCATAATTTTATCATCAAAGACTTTTCAACAGAAGCCATTGCAACTATTGATTCCCAATTAGAACTCTCAATTAACATTGATGAAATAAATTGTGAAATTCTTCCATGGCAAATCGAATTTTTAATACATACAGCATCTAATATACCAAGATTCATGCCATATATTACTACAAGGAACATGACTTCCGATGATAATTTGGATGAAAAAGGATTATGGAAATTTATTCACAAAGCAGCGACCAATATCTCATCACCAAAGACATTTATTGACAAATTCAAAGAAATGAAGGAATATTTGCAAAATTACAAAGATTCTAAAAATAGAAACGAAAATATTCAAAAATTAGATCATTCTTTAGACTACAACACAATTGTTTTGTATAGGATGTTAGCGGAAGCAAAGAAAGGAGACAGAAAACTCACAAAAGATCAGTTAGAAAAAGTATTTTTGTTAGTTGACACAGATGCGCAAATTTACTTGCCAAATTTGTTATTTACGTCACCTGTACATGCTGAAATTGGTCAGGTCAACTTAAAAGTCGCAGATTTCCTTTGTATTTTGAATAATTTATCATTTTCCATGGAAAACAAGTCGAACGTTCAAGTAATCGAAGGCGGATTCAACTCAATCCAACTTAAGCGCAAGGTTGGAAAGATCTACACCCCTTTCTTTGAGAGTATTGAAAACGGTAGAAAAGATTTCAATTTTAATTTGGCACTTTTTTGTCAAAATTGTTTACAAAAGAACAAAAATGAGATTGCATTATCATGTTCGGCTTCCAATTATGTCATTAACCTGAGGCATTTATCAGAATTAGTTATTGACGCTTCTTTTATTGATTCCATCGTTTCATTTGTAACAGAAGTATCGAAACTGAGGTTTGAGATACCAAATCTATCTGTTTATTTGTCTCCATTTGAGATGGTCATTCACAATGGAACAAATGTTCATTTGACTTTTGAATGCGAAGGAGGAATCACTTCCACATACAAATCAGACATTTTGTTAATGGAATTGAAGTCTGGTCGTGTTAAATTTGGCGATGAAAAGGATATTTTGCTCGCAGAAAATGTTTTTCTTGATTTGATGCTGAAAGATAAGAATTTATCCATCAATTTGCAGCCACCTGTTATATATATTGAACTCGCTGATATCGCAAAACTACTTGAAATCGTTCCTGAAATGCCAAAAATAAGAGGAGTTGGAAAATGTAAATTCATTGATTTGTTGAATGTTATTCCTGAGTTCAGCTTTTCTTTACATGTTCCTGACTTCTTCGCTGTTGTTGGTTTCCCTCTAACAACTGAAAAAATCAAAGTTAATATAAAATCTCTGGATTTCGATGGAAACTTTAATGAACTGAAGAGTGCAGCCTTCCTAAAGCTGAAAATGGACTTCAAAGGTATCTCCTTTGCTGGAGAAATCTTTGATAAACATTAAAAAATTTATAATTTGTTTGTTTGAAAATAAAATCATACTATATTATTTTTTCATAACTTAACTATTTCACAGTTATATCAGAATGCGTTTATTAAGCATAATCTAATTAATTTTTTTTGAAATATCTTCTGTAATTGTATTTAATGTTACAATACAATGGTCTTCTAATACATAATAGAAGAATTATTAGTCGCGATACAAGCAGAGTAGCTAAAATATCCGAAATATTGAAGGTCAACTTTAAATATGGCATTTATTGGCAAATGTATATATGAACAAGCTTTTATTCTTTGTTTATTATCCAAATAGATGTATTACAAATCTATTGGATGAATTTTTACGAACAATTTTGAATCTTATATGATTACATTTTAGGTTTGGATAAAAAGAATTCAGGCTTTATGTAACCTAACAAACAAATATTTATTTATTCAACAAAAACACTGGAACAGATCTTGTTCTATCAGTAGTATATGTTGAAGGGTTGTGTGACTTTTTTTGTAAACGTAAGAATTCATACAATATTGAACGATTTTGTATCATTTTTTTTAACATATGAAGTAAAAAATGTATGATTCTTACGGTTTTTATTCTTACGTTTTTGAATAAATCAAGATTTAAAAAATTTTCAAAATTGTAAGACATTTACACTCAGCCCATACATAATGAAATAAAAAAAATAAACCATTAAAAATTCATGTCTTACATTTATGAAAATTTATTTTTATTTTGTATGAAACCGATTTTAAAAATTTATGAATAATTTATAAAAAGTTTTTATTCCTACAATTCCTATATTACCATTAATAAAAAATTAACTTCTTATGTAAAATTAAAACTAAGTTAAATTTATTTTTTTTTATTTTTTATTTTATAATAAATGAGTATAACAACTAATTCATTGAAATCTTTAAAGTTCACTAATTCAGAATTAGAAAATATTTTAGAAAATTTTGGAGACGGTTCTTATCCAACATATATGCAGAATGTGAAAGAGTTTTCCAGATTGTTGAATGAATTTAAATATAACGGACCAATTACTAAAAAGGCTATAATGAGATATTTATATCCCAAAAAAGTTGAAAAACAGGAGAATATTCCTCTTTATGGTCCAGAGGACCTGGGCTCAGAGAGCCTTGAAACACCTCCTGAATATTTTGAAGAAAAAATTAAACAAGATGAATATTATAACGATGAGATTGAGAAATTGGAACAATTAAGAAATGAAATAGATGAAAGAATTAGTGAATTGAGAAATGCTGAGAATGAAGTAGAGGGTTTAATGAATATCCCAGCTTCAGAATCAGAAGTTCAAAAATCACATGAAGAAAGATATAAAAATTACTTTTTGGAATCTACTAAAAATTTATTAGATGGTGATATTGACGAAACACTTTCAGAAGAAGGCACAAAATTTATTCATAAACATAAGTTACAATTTATTGACGATGGAGATTATCCATGTATATTACTTTCACCTCCTCTTGATTCCGAAAAATTCAAAAAAGCACTGAAAAATGTAACATATGCAACTAATACGATTAAGAAAGAAGATCATGATATTTACACAAATTATTATTTAAATAAATGTACAGGTGTTGATAAAGTTTTTGATTTGTTAGATAAAATATCAAAAGAAACAATTGGTACATATACAATTTTATGCGATTGTGGTTTCATTATTGAAGATACCAATAATGTTTCATATGAAAGAACAGCACCGAAGGAAGACGAAGTTGAAAGGTCTATACCATTCGTTATTAAGAACATAAAAGATATGAAAACGTATAAGCATTATATTTATTCATTTATTTCAGAAAAAATGGAAGCAACCCATAAAACATCTTCTCATCATTTTATAGCTATTCATACATTCCTTTTCAAAGTTGTGAAATTAAATAAGACAGGAATTAGATTTAATGTATCAGGGTACGCATTCTTGAGTAAATTAAAATGTATTCGTCACGTCGCAGATGATAAAAATTTATGTGTTCTTAATTCATTTTATGGACTTTAGCCCTGGACTCTCTGAGTCTCGGACTTTAAAAAAAAATAAACTTTATTTTTATTTATTTTTTAATTTTTATTCTTACATAAATGAACAAAAATGGAACAGCTAAAATGAATGATAATCAAATAAGAGCAGAAGGTAGAAGGTTATTTAAACGCTTCTATAACATTCCTGATGGTGTTAATCCTAAAACTCGTAGAAGCTATTTAAATGAAGCCATAGATGCATATGAAGGATTTGACATTTCATCAGAAAGTGAGAGGTTAGCAAGAATGTTAAACGTTAATATTGATTTTTATTATTGTGACCCTCAACCAGAAGACGTAGACATTAACAAGGTAGACTTTCCATTAGTGGAATCAATAATGATAGATCCAGAATTTGAAACAGTAAATATTTTATTAACACAGAGTCCATGTGGAAAACTTCACGCTGACAGAATAACAGACGTTGAAGCACTCACAGGATATAAAGTTTGCCCCTTTTGCAAAGAAGAAGTTTATTCTATCCGTGATGATCCAGAAAGGAAAAACCAAAGAAGATTTTTAAAACATTGTGAGAAATGTAAAGAAAATAATGGAAGATTAATTCAAGACGTTCAATTGCAAAACACACAACAACCATATGCACCACATATCACGAAACAGAAGATATATCAATGGCTATTAGCACATAATTTGCAGGAATATTATAAACCAACAAGATATTATATTACTTTTGACTTCGAAACATTAGAGACTAAAGAAGAACTTCAACTTTCTGAATGTGCAACTTTGAACGCTTACTTAAAACCATTTATGGTATCATCAACTGTCAAAATAAAGCCGCAAAGCGGCGAGGTCGTAGACCGTGATAAAACATTTACGAGGAATTTTTGCTTAACATCAAGTGATTCGTTCATCTCTGATTGGATTGAATTTTTATTTTCAACCTGTTCATTAGTTGCTAAATCAAATATTGAACAATATGAAGAATTAATGAATACATTAAATGAGAAACAAAAGGAAGCAATGAAAGAGCTTTTAGATGAAGAATTTAATAAAGTGAATATCATTGGTTTTAATTCAGGAAAGTTTGATTTAAATTTAATTCTTCGTGATTTAAATACTGCAAAATGGAAGATAAAATCAATGCTGGGTTCTTCTTCTCAATTTAAGCAAGTCATAGTAAAGAAAACAAACTGTCCATATGAATTAAGATTTATTGACATCAGAAATTATATAGCGGGTGGAACATTAGACCAATTTACTCAAGATTTCGGAAACAATAAATCACGTGTTAAATCCTTTTTCCCTTATCAATTCATCACATGGGAGAATTACGAAGATGAATTACCCAGATTTGCCTTACTTTTACCACCCCTCTAAAGCTGGGGACACCGCCTATCGTTTGGAGTAGCTATTAAATAGAACCACCAAGGGTATTTTTCGAACTGCTGGTGTAGTGTAGTGGAAACATCCGACATAATGATTCATTATGCCAAGGTTTGATTCCCATTTAGCCAATTTTTTTCTTTTTTGGATCATGAATTTTTTTTTTGGGTCACTATAAGATTTGTTTCATGTTTAAATCTGCTGCATATGTAATCTATTTTTATTTTCCTATTTTTTAAAAATCTATTGGATTGCCAAATTTGAATATATTTAAAATCATAAAAATCCAAAAAAACTATAAATATATGTTTTATGCATAGTGCCGATACTCAAATATCAGATTACTTAGATCCATGAATAATATCCGAATTTTTTTTTCTTAAAATTAAACTTCAAAACTTCTTGCAATCTTATTCTTCATCAATTGTAAATTTTTAAAACCATTTTTTAAAATAATTTTGCGTAAATTTTATTCTCATGTTGTTTTAATCGAAAATTGATACATTTTCAAAAAAATAATATTGACTTATGAAATTCATTTTTTAAGGTGAAATAGTATTGTTTTTATTAAAGTATATGAATAATATATAAAAAATTAATGAATAATATAAGCAGATTTTTAGTTTACAAAACAAATATGAGCAATGCAATTTCAAACTTTTGCTGGCAATTTCGATATTGCTCAAGTTTGTAGTATTTGTGATACCTATAACATCGGCTTAATCAAAATTCGATTTTTCTTATGAGTTATTGAGAAAATTTGATTGCAATGAGAAGGATTTCGACGTTTTTGATAAACTAAGAGCTGAGCTTTAGGGGTTCAGTTCATTTATGGCTGTAGTTTGATGCGTAGATCTCTTTTTTATTGTAAATTCTTTCAGCATGGAGATCGAGAATGAATCTTTTGAGAACTTTATGAGTTTTTACACCCGTAAAGAGGTCCTTCGAGGAAAGATAGTCCAGACTACATGAAGATGTGGGTTAACCAAAAAAAATCCGATGGTTTCCCATATTCATGTAGATCTTCGAAAAAATGAGCACCAAAAAAGCCAAAAAAATAGGCTTTTATTGGATTTGTACACTAGATCAATAACCTATTTAGGATCTGACACTCTTGTTAGCCAGAGATATGAGGTCCTTTCTAGGAAAACGATCTATTCATCCATAAAAAAAATGAATTATCGTTTTCCCCAGAAATTACATGGGGAGTGGTAAAAGTAAGGCAAATCTGGGTATATAAAAAGGAACCATTCACTCAAGATTCATTTTATTCAGCATTAACACAAGAAACAATATCCGATTCAGATTATCAAATATATCTCAATGATGCTAAAAATTTTGAGAATAGATTAGAATATTTTATTCATTATTGCAATAAAGACGTTGAAATTATGATTGACCCAATTGATAAAATTATTGAAGAAACATTTGTTTATAAAATTGACATGCTCCATAATCTTTCATTATCATCTAATGCATCAATGATTCGTTACGCGTTAGCATATAAGAACTTCAATCCTAACGAAACATATCCAGAAGAAGAAAATGTGGAATCAAGTTTTGAATTAACGAAAAAGTATTGGAAATATAAAATTGAATCATATAAGAAACAAGATGAAAAGGCGAAAAGAGATACCAAAAACAATGTTTCAATGGATGACTATCAATACTATCACGATTTAATCCTTTCATCTAAATGCAAAATGTGTGGTAAAGCGTTTACATATGTAAATAAACCAACATTAGATAGAATCGATAATGAAAAACCACATACCAAAGAAAATTGTCAGTTAATGTGTTGTTATTGCAATGTCGTAAAATCAAATAAAGATGAAGATGTTCAACGTTTAAGAATCAATTTAAGAAATTATGCATTAAAAAATAATTTACCAATGACTTTAGATTCAGTTGAAGCTTATCACATTCTCCGTAATGGAATTACTGGTGGTCTATCAAATGTTCAACATCGTGTTAATCTTAAAGGAATCACGCACATTAATAAACTTTCATATAATCCAGAAACTAAAACTGTATCAAATGAGGACACCACCAACATTATGACTCATTTCGTTGGAGTTGACTTTAATTCATTATATCCTTCATCATTTTCATCTAATCCTCATGATTTCATTCAATATACTGACCATAAAATGTATATGCCGGGAAGATTGAATGGTGTTATCATTTGTGATACAGCAACAAAGAAAGCAAAAGCACTGGGAATTATTAGAAAGAAAAATACTTTATTCGTGGCTGAAGTAAAGGGTCACATTGATGAAAAATACATTAATGATTACATAAACTTTTTACCGATAATAAGAAACTTAGATATTATCACAGATGAAAAAACAATTGGCAGTTTTATGTATAATTACATGAAATCAAACAATCTACCAGTTGACCAGAAACAGAGGAAATTAACTCAGTTAGCATCAACACACAACCAATATCAACCATTTTCTTCTTATTATCTTTGGTATCTAATCGACAGGTTTAATTTTATCATTGATGACATTCAATCAATTTTAACATTTACTAAAAACACTTGTTTTAATGAATTTGCGAAAGAATTTATGAACGAAAGACAAAAGGCTGAATTAGAAGGAAATAAAGGAAAAAGTTTATTTTGCAAGATTTCGCTTAATGGATCATATGGTTACGATGCAATGAATACACAAAATTACGCAAAGACTAAAATAATGAATGCACAGAAGGCACGCGTTGCATGTATGTCAAATAAGTTTAAAAACATAAGAGAAATAGGAGAGGATACGTATCAAGTGATGCTTAAAGATAGATTTTATAGATGTGATACATGTTTACAAGAGGCATTCTTCACTTTAGATAATGCTAAATACTGGTATTTAGTTTTCATTTATGATTTTATGTATAAATGCTTGAATGTTAATCGTTTTCATTTCATTGAAGGTGATACTGATTCATCTTATTGGGCAATCGCTGGCGACCCAAATCTTCCTAACACTCAAGCATTTCAAGCAATTGTTACTGATAAAACAATTTTATGATAAAAACATTTTCAAATTCGCACCATTTGATTTCTTCTGTTTTGATGAGAAATTTAAACCTAAATTAAAGAATAAAGCTGAAGAAAAAGCACATGAGAGAAAGTTATTGGGTTTAGCAATTGAGAAACAAGGTGATAACATGGTTGCTTTATGTCCTAAGTGTTATACATCATTCAACGGTTCAATTGATGGAAGTGATTTTAAAAAGATTGCACAAAAAATGAAAGGTGTTAGTTTACGACAAAATAAACAATTAACACCTAAAAAATTATTTGGATATAATAAATGATAAATTGATATTTGATGGTCAGAATATTAATTTACAACTTAAAAATGGTCAATGACTCGCTTAACAATTGGTAAGACTGCATTAACAGGAGCAACCACACTAAGGCTGTATGTTGTGAAAATGGATGTTGTATGCCATTTATTTAATAAAATACCACAGAAGAGACAAAAGGAACCGTTAATGATGGTTTTGATACTATGATTCAAAGAGGTGGGCACCCTTAAAACATTGATTTTATTTTTATATAAATGGATAACACAGATTTAAAAATTTAATTGCTGATTTAGTACTTAATCAAAATTTTCTTGATTATTATGATTTAAAAGCATATCTCCAAAAATATGATAACAATATAACGGGTGATGATATGGAATATTATTATCCATATTATAAAAATGAAATTTTGAAATATCATAATAAAATAATTTCTGAAATTAAAGACAAAATTAAAAATAATGAATATTCAAAGGGAAAAACTAAATCACAACTTAAACAATTGAAAGATTTCAAAAATAAAGTATTAACAGAAGAAGATATTGATGAATTATATAAATTATATAATCCTGAGCCACAAAAACCAAAGGAACAAAACACCCAGGTCCTTCAGACCATAAATGAAGCACAAGCTTTAATTTATGATTCATTAGTTAAACCATATTCAGCCCGACTTTTAAATGAAGATCAACTTTTGGAATTCATCCTTCAACATAAACTCGAAGCGGGAAAGTATATCAAACCTTTATATACAGCATATTTAAAACAAATGAATAGAATACATCCAGAATTAATGAAGGAAGGAATGAAATCCAAAATCAAAGCAGATAAAATTAAACCACTTGCAACACCAAAACCTCTAACGACAGTACCGCCTCCTCCTTCAGTTAATCCTTCATCATTCACTTTATTATATCCATTTCAAACATTAAAGAAGCAAAAAGATTTTAAAAAGGGTTTCAAGATATTAAATAAACCAATTGACCCGAAAATTCAACCGTTAAAGGAAAAATTTAGTCGCCCTTCATTTGCTCCATATCCATATTCATACGAAATCGATCATTTAGAATATTCAAAAGGAAACGTTACTTATTTATTCGCCATTAAATTAACACTAGATATTTATATTGCATTCCGGTGAAAGGGAAACAGAACAGGAAACAAGAAGAGCTATTCATACTTACTAGATCATGAAAGAGTAGATAATATCAGGGGTGATGGTGATAAAGGATTTCAGGCAGCTATGGCTCATTATTTCCCACAAATTAATTTTTACTTTTCATCCTCTCCATATACGTTTCATAATAAAATAGTTGATGCGGTAATGAGAACTCTTAGAGATGCGTTAGGGGTTAACGGTCAGATATACTGGGATGGAAATCATGACTCCATCATACAGCAGTTAGTATATTATTACAATAATACATGGCATAGAACTATAAACATGAAACCAGTGGAAATGAAAAATGATATTTCAAAGAATGGGAATATATTAGAAAGCAAATGTAAAGGTTGAATGATGTTAAACGTGAACAAATTAATTCGGGGCTCATGAATTTTAAACAAAGGAAATAAAGTTTTAATTCATCTCGATTATGGAAAAACTGATAAATCAATGACAAAAAGAAGACGAAGATTTGACACAATAGCTGAATTTGTTAGATATATTAACGGCAATGCATTAGTTGAAGTTGACAATAAATTAATAGAAATTCCGATTTATTTTATTACTCCATTATATTTAAATAATATTTAATTTTTTTTATTTCGTAAGAAATGAGTGACAACAAGCAGCCAAGAGTCCAGACGATGAATATAAAAAGAAACTAAACAGAATTAAATCAAAAATATGCTATTACAAAAAGAAGCCACAATGCGGTGGGTTATGCCCATAAAACTAATGGAACTGAAAACGATAAAGAAATAATCGAAAAATTAGAAACTTACCGTTCAATCCTTAAACTGAGTGAAGCAAAAATAAAAGAATTTAATAGAATAAATAAATTGATTGGAAGAGATGAATTTTAATAAAGATGAATTTTTAAACTCAATCCAAATTTAATTTTTATTCCTCTTTGACAACATCTCTCTTTCCATCATTACTGCATAACCACATTTTCTCAGTTTTAGTGGTTTGTTATTTTTAGCAAGTTCTCGCATCATTTTTATCGTTTCCTCCCTTGTTATGATTCGTGGTAAATTTTGAGCTTGTGGGGTATTCATTTATGATAAAAATAAAAATTTAAATTATGCCGTTCTAAAGTTTGTGACAACATGACATTTAGACAACAACACAGGTTATTCAATAATGACTTATTTTTGAAGAACTGAAGGTGTCACCAGGTCACCATGTGTCACCAGGTCATTTATCTCTCTGAAAAAATGTGACAACATGACATTTAGACAACAACACAGGTTATTCAATAATGACTTATTTTGAAGAACTGAAGGTGTCACCAGGTCACCATGTGTCACCAGGTCATTTATCTTCTCTGAAAAAATGTGACAACATGACATTTAGACAACAACACAGGTTATTCAATAATGACTTATTTTTGAAGAACTGAAGGTGTCACCAGGTCACCATGTGTCACCAGGTCATTTATCTTCTCTGAAAAAATGTGACAACATGACATTTTGACAACAGGTACAAGAGAATGCAAAAATAAATTCCAATCATACTTTATACTGCCTCATTTACAGGTATTTCATCGTCAGTAAATGATTCCTCATTATCGTTTGGTTCAACCTGTTTATATAATCCTTTCATTTCTTCTTTCAAAACATAATACCATGTTTGTTTACCATCTATTCTTATCTGTTTCCTATCACATTTATCCTTAATACTCATTTGGAAATTCTTGTCTTTCATGTCTGATGGTTTGCAGAATAGCGCATTTTTACATGTCATACCTGCACTCAATTCATCATAATGTGTATTTATCCATTCATCTAAAGGATTTGTTGATAATTCAATTAAATCTTGTTTGGCTTCAGTCATCGGTATGATTCGTACATTAAATGATGAAAGGTCGTAATTGATAAAATATGTTAAAAGGTTATCATAAAATTCCTTTGTGCATGAATTCATCAAATTCTTGAAGTAATTAAATTGACCCTTGAATTTACCATTGACCCTTAAAACCACGTATCTTCTGTCTCCAACTTCAATTTTGACAGGGTAAACGTTATTAGTTACGAAAACGAAATTGGCAACATTCTGTGCTGTTCTTCTGGGTTGATTCTTTTCATTAATTCTAATCTCATTATCCGTAATAATTGATTTCAAAGCGTTGAAGTTTGCGAGTCTGTCTTCACCTACATTCTTGAGTTCATTAAGTACAAGAAACATTTTATTTTCAACTACTGAGTTGAAATTACCCGTTAGCTCACTTATTTCGGTAATGTTTTTACATGAATAACCGGCGAGGAGTTCAGAAATAATGTCTGTGAATCTGTTTTTACCTGTTCCCTGAAGTCCTTTCAAAATAATTGCTGTTTCATTCTTGATTCCAGGATGTTGAATCATTGATGCAATCCAGCCGAGAAGGTATTTATACACTTCATCGTTATTATCACAAATGGCTTCTTTAATGAAATCCATAAACATCTCAATTTTTGAGTAATCTACTTTTTCGAGAACGTTGTATTTATAACCCTGAAACGTTGAGAAAACATCTGGGGAATCAGATTTAAAGCAAACACCCTTAACGGTTAATGAAGACAATTGATTTAATAGTACGTCCCATGCTGTTATGGTTTTACCTTCTTCTTTAAATAATTTAATCATTTTGAGTGACTCTTTCATGTTTGACTGAAGAACGAATGATATTTGATTCATTTTGTCGTGGATATTATAGTCCTTTTGAATGAAATATTTATTTCCACAATCTACAAAACGGATTACACGTGATAAATCCTCAATTACTTCAGAACTGTTTTTATACTGATGATTTTCAGCCTTGCGTCTAATATCTGTTATCAAAAACGAGTCATCAAGTTTTATATCAAATGTTATTTTTGGCTTACGTAATAAAGGCAAAACGTATTCATCATAATATTCCTTTTGATAAAGTTTTAGAATCTTCACTAAAACAAATGGAGAAGTCATTAAATGTGCATATCTACTACGTGCTTTTTCAAAATTACTTTTTGCATTTTCTGTTAAACTGCAGAAGTTATAAACGTTATCGTATGCTTCATTAATTAAATGATCCGGTAACGAATTAATTGCTTGAAACAGTGTGAATAATGTAACTTCTTTTTCTAAATTCATGTTTCCACCGTCATTATGTACTTCAAAATCACAGATGCCATCAACTATGCTCTGAGCTAGTTTATCGTCAATGTTTACATCTTTGTTTTCATTCATGATAGTCTTTATTTCTTCGTTCTTCTGTTCAACTCTTACCTTAATATTCAAATCATTTAATATATCATTCACTGTTCTAGTTAATGTTGAATCATAACTTCCACGAATGAATGAGTATGTATTGATTGGTTCTGATGCATTCTTGCGAACTCTTGATTCAGCCATAACCACTAATGAACGCTTTGAATCATCCATAGAAGTCATTATGTCAATATCATAATCATTGCAAGAATAACATTTAATCATTCTGTTCGAAACTGCATAGAAGAAATTAGTGTTGCAATAAATGTGAAGACCTCCTGATGCGGTTTTAACGATAACATCTTTATCCGAAAGTTTTGATAAAATGTCTTTTCCAACTGTTTCTTTAAGTTCATCATTGTACGATTTATTGATATCAACATCTATAATCGTTAAATTTGAAATTTTATTTACTAATAAAGCTGTACCAGTTTTCCTTCCTCTTCCTCCATCATGTTTGAGGTAGTTATGTAAATCAATCTTGTTTTCACCAATTCTTTCGTTGAGGGTTTTAGTTTCTGCCACAACTAATTCCTCAGCTAATGAATCAATAACTTGTTCATCAGAAACGATATAGTTGTTGTTGTTGCTGTTGTTGTTTGTTGCTGTCATTTATATAGGAATAAAAAAATAAAAATAATTTTAAAACTAACTTTATTTTTGGACTGCATCAAATTTTCGTAAATGTTGTCTAAATGTCATGTTGTCACATTTTTTCAGAGAAGATAAATGACCTGGTGACACCTTCAGTTCTTCAAAAATAAGTCATTATTGAATAACCTGAAACCATTAACGTAAACATTAACGATAAAATATATTTTTGGTCGTTTATGACAAAAATAAATTGTTCATTTACTCACAATATTTTTGTACAAAACGACCCCAAACTTTTAACTTCTTTTCTGCAGTTTCTAATGCTATCTTAGCGAGTTCATATTCTCTAAATTCTCTCTTTAAATCTTCTTGTTCCCATTGGTCTAGTTCGTATGAAGAATCTCTATAACCATAACATTTCTCACGTTCATGTTCTAATTGTTTTTCACACGTTTTTCTAACTTCTTCTTCAAACAAATGTTTAGCATTCTCTACTGTATCTTCGAGTTCTTCTTCATCTAATTTCTCATGAACTTTCTTGTCTATGGAGTCCATAATATCTTTGACATAAAATGCATACTTTACAGAGCACCATTCAGCAACAAAATGAACGAGGTCAGGATGTATGTAAATACCTTTGAATTCATTTATAACACCCTTAGTAAGCTCATAAAAAGCTTGTTTTGAGGTTGAGCCACTTTTGGCTCGACCGTATTCTTTCAACCAAAACTCAAGAATTTCCTGCATTTTAGCACTATTGAGAAATCTGTTTAAATGGTTTAACCTTCCCGCTTCTCTTGCCATCTTTGTTGCATTAATGTAACCATCCTTGTCTCTACGTAAGACTTCAATACCATTATAAGTGCCTTTTGTGAATGTTTCGCCATTAGATTTGTTCGTGAATGTCTGTGCTTCGACTGACATTTCTGTTCTTACATACAAAATAAAAAAATTAAAATAATTTTAAAACTAACTTTATTTTTGAACTGCATCATATTTCCAGGACTGTTGTCTAAATGTCATGTTGTCACATTTTTTCAGAGAAGATAAATGACCTGGTGACACATGGTGACCTGGTGACACCTTCAGTTCTTCAAAAATAATTAATTATTGAATAACCTGAAACCATTAACGTAAACATTAACGTAAACATTCACGATAAAATATATTTCCATGACTGTTGTCTAAATGTCATGTTGTCACATTTTTTCAGAGAAGATAAATGACCTGGTGACACATGGTGACCTGGTGACACCTTCAGTTCTTCAAAAATAAGTCATTATTGAATAACCTGAAACCATTAACGTAAACATTAACGATAAAATATATTTCTGCAGTTCATCCATTACTTCATTACCTAATTAATTACAGACATAAAATATATTTAGTTCATTCAATAAACTCGGTACCATGCGAATACAGTCACAAATGGTGGCATGTAATCTTTACCCAAGCCTGTTGGATTTGTTGTGAAAGTATGGACATGATTTCCTCCTGGTTCAGTTTGTCGAAAAGTCTTTTTTGCTGAATGGTTATAATCTGGAGATAAAACGTCATAGCCAGCTTCATACTCTGAGTTGTATAATGGGTGGTCTCTTAATGAGTGGCTATGGTCGCCAGAAAAGTTTGTAGTTCCTGTATGAGTGTGTGGTGGAAGGTTTGCTTCTTTAATTTTCTTCGAACCTCCTGTTTCCTTTGAACTATTAGCACAATAGAGGAATTTATCTACAATCTGCTCCCACGTACCGAAACCCAGAACTGTTGCTGGATTTGTTGAGTTCATTGACGTATAAATAGAACCAATGGGGTAAATCATCTCAAGAATTGTATTTAATCCATTATGAATATTGAATTTATTATATAATATTGAATATTGGTGAGTATTTAAAACTGGTCTTGTTATCAATATTAACGTATTATTTTTGAAAATTGCTTTTCTAACATCTTGAAATTTTGTGATTTCAGACCAGTTTCTTCCATCACTACTAATATTTACTAAATCACCACATCCTAAAGCAATGAAATACCCATCAATATAAAATAAATTTGTAAATCTATAATTTCGAGTAAATTTTGGAGTGAATGAATAAACCAATTCCCAATTTGATAAATCCTGTGATAAATAAATATGTCTGTTATAACTTACAGGATATGAATAGACCATTCTACTTGAAACGAGAACATAAACATTTGATCCATAACATAAAGCTTCAATGTCTCCATCAGCTTGAAAAATTTGTTCAAATTGACCTTGTGGTATTGAAGATGATCTATAAATTTTATCATTTTGTAGGATAAAATACATGTTGTTAATGTAATACCACTTACTTGTATAATCAATTTTCAAATCTGATGACATCATACTAAACATATAATAATTTATCCCATCCTCACTAATGAAAATTTGATTGACTTCATAAATTAGTACCCATTTATTATTAACACATCTAATAGGATTATTTGAATATTTAAATTTAGCATCTTGATTTAAATTACATTTGAACCATTGGATACAATCGAATGAATAACAAGGGTAAAAATCATCTCCAACCGTTATCATTCCCATAAATATACAGTTATTATATTCAACATATAAAATTATTGGATTAATGATTGGCTCTCGTGTATCAGGATTCAAAACAGATGGAGTAAATGATTCATAGTTTTTAAATACATGGTCACTCCATCGAAACATATCCATTCAAAAGAATCTATATCAAAGGTTTTATCTGATGATTTCATAAAATTTAAAAATGGTGGAGTAAAATAGACCTCTGATTGTTTTATTTCTTCATTAACAAATGATATATTAGCTTTCTTATTTAACTCACTATCCACATATTCCTTATCCGATTTCTTATTTAACTCATCGTTAACATATTCCTTATCCGCTTTAAGGTCTAAACATCCTGAAACCCATCCTGTATCAGCTTTAGTTTTTAAAATCTTTGATGTCCATTCATGATACCATTCAACCCTTTCTTTAATTTCATTATCTTTTTCATCAACGTAAACCAAATTTGCCTTCTTCATTAACTCACTATCCACATATTCCTTATCCGCTTTCTTATTTAACTCACTATCAACATAAACCAAATTTGCTTTCTTCATTAATTCACTATCAACATATTCCTTATCTGCCTTCTTCATTATGTCATTTAGGAAACCTTCTATGAATTCCTCATTTAAATTAAATCTTCCAATCTTCAAAACTTTAGGAAATGCATTTAATGCGTAATATCTTTGTTCTTCTAGTGGAATTGATGTTATATCATCCGTTATACCTTTAATTTTTGAATTCATAAATAAAATTTCTTTTATATTTGATATCACTGCACCACCCTTGCAAACGAATTCGAAATGGTCATTTTTCAATACTATCTCCAAATCTCCATATTTCAACCTTTGCGTTTGTTCTGCCGTCTTTGAATTATATGCATATATGGCGTATGTAATGGTCTGAGGGACCTGGGTGCTTTGTGCCTTAAGTTGCTGTGGTTGCTGTTGTTTAATCATTTATTATGATTTAAAAATAAATATTTAATCTGTTATCTCATCAGCTATTTTTTCTATTTGAAATTGCCATAATATTTCATTCATGAATTCTAAATCACAATCAAATAGGTCAGTTATTCTAAATTTAATATTTGATAAATCTTTTGAATGAAGAATAAATGAATTCCCGGATAATTGAAACGGATATGATAAAGAAAATGTGTTTAAGTTGATGGATAAAATGTTTTGTATTGATGGGTAAGAGTTAGGGTCTAATGTTTGATGTGAAAATCTCATTGGGGTATTAACTTTATCACATTTGATTAAAATGAAATTGGAACCAGTGTCAGAATACAAAACATCCCCAACATCTTTTTCAAAATTTAATATCCCCAACAATGAACGAAGATGAGGAGTACAAAATTTAATTTTCAGCGGGAATTTAATAAGGTTATTTATTTCATCAAGTTCAAAAAGTTTATCGGGTTTTGATTTAAAATTTTCTTCATACCATACGATAAATGATTCATTTAAATAACTTAAAATCATGTTAATATCCCATTTCGCTATCACATTATTTATATACATATCATACGTTTTTCAAGGTCATCTTTAATAAATGATATATAATCTGAAGGGTCTAAAAGAATGGGATTAAATTTACCACTCACAGAAACGAGAGTAACATTATAAATTCCGCTAACTGTTAAATTTAATTCACAGCTATTATTCGAAATAATATTGATAATTGACATTTTTATTACGATTAAAAATATGGTAAAGCGTTATTTTCCAGTGATAAATAAAACTAGAATAAGATTACCTCAAGAATTCATAAATTCAACGAATAAGAAATTCATTCATGTTATAAATTTTAGTGTTTTCAGAAAATATGAGTCAATGTCATATTCATCAACAGGTTATATTTCACTTCATTCAAATTTAGTTCAATCAAACCCATATAATGACCATTTCATAAGATTTTCAGATGGTATTAAAAATGTAATTGATAGATTAAAATATGAACAGATTGACAATATCGAATTTTTGGAATTTTGGTTTAAATATCCTGATGGAAAAAAGATTGAAGTTAAAGATAAAGCTGATACTATAACAAAAACAATTACAATGACCGATCCAGATAGTGGGGAACAAAAAGAAATAAAACAAACGATAGAAACTGGTGAAAGGTCAATTATTATTGATTATGATTCAAAGGATTATTATTCGATAATGTTAATGCTTGAATATTAAATAGCCTTAACAAAGAATTTTTCAAGTGATATTTTATATTCATCAACTATTTTATTGTATATGTTATTTATAAGTTAAATGTAGTTCAGTTGTTGCTCCGTTCTTTGATATCTTAATTGTGCTAATATCCTTTATAGGATTTATTTTTGCAACTGTTCCGCAGCATGAAACCTCATCATCTATGAAAAATTGAATCTTAACGTCTGAATCTTGAACATCACAAAGAATGGCGATAATGTGAATTAATGATTCATAAGGTAAAATAATTAAACCGGATTGATCAATTAAATTTATTATTGAATCATAATTATTAATTATTATATCACGGTAAATTTTCATTAATTCAGAATTAATGTCTACTTTATATGGCGCATTGCGACTGGAATCGTAGATTCCTGGGTTCTCGATGTTTGATGAAAGAGGCGGGGGGTATGTTGGATATGTGGGGATTTCAACGGGTTCTTTACCAGGTTCAGATAAAATGATTGGGTCTCCATCTTCTTTATTTTGCTCCTCCTCATTCTTTGGTAAGTCACGAGTTAATAAATTGGACTGTGTTGCTGACCTTGTTAATTCGGGGCTAACATTAACTTTAACATTTTGAATAATTCGTGATTTATCATCATTTACGTTATAACCAACCGTAATCTCTGCTTTTGCGTTAGTGTTCTTTTGACTTGTGAAACGTCTTCTCATTTATAATTGAATAAAAAAAAGAAATATATTTAAAGTTTTATTTAGTTGTTACGGTAATATCCCAAGGTTCATCCTTGTTTGCTTATACTTTCTTTGTAACTGCACCAATTATGTTATTGATAGTGTTTTGAGTTTCTTCCAGTCTTATTTTATCATTTACAATATCTTTAATCATTTCATTACATGCATTCTTAAAACCATCTGATTTTTCTAATTTACGTCTATCACTTTCTTTAATTAAATCAAAGTTATAACCTTGTTGAGAATAAAGTGGTTTCTTTATCAATTCCTTGAACGCTTCTGAAAGTGAAGATGAAGAAATTCTTGCCACTTGAATTGGTTTAAATTCTGCTTTCATTGCTTCTTTCTGTTCATTGAACACTGGATCGAATAAAGCAACTTTAAAGAATTTCTTAGCTGGAATTTCAGGTCTAATATTTGCATATTGATCATCAAACTGATTAACATATCGTGGTAATCCATCCGGTCCCTCTTCAACAGCATTTAATTCTTCATTGAAATAAGAATATGGATTATGACGGTATGAATACATCGGACCATTTTCACCTTCTCCAATGTATTGTTTAACAGCTTTTCCATTTTCATCAAATTTCATAGGATAACGTTCATTATATGCTTTACGTTTAGGATAATCCGTCATTGTTAATTTATACCCATTTATGACTTTAATATTTCCTTGACCATCAGTAACAAAGACTTCATTTATTCCATCAGGCTTTCCATTTGGTCCTGTAATGTCTGCTTCGTGTGCTTCCCAATTTGGTCCATGACGTTTGGCATATGCTTGAGCTTCTGGTAATGTTAAAACGTTTCTCATTTGTTTAACATCTTTTTGAAGACCAGCAACAATGTGGACTAATTCTTTCATTCCGTCTGGAACTTTCATAGTTCTATTATATGCACCCTTTTTGTTTGTCCCTTGTTTTAATGGAACCTGTAGAAGATTTGCAATTTCTGTCATGTTTAATTATAAATAAAAAATAAAAATTAATTATAAAAAGTTAATCAAATTTAACACTTCCTTTATTTAAATCAACTATTATTTTTCCATGTTCACCTAATTGCTGATATTGTGTGCAAAGTTCATTAATGCTCATTGGTAAATTCACTTGATAAAGCATAACGTTCAACTGTTGACGACTAAACCCACTGAAAATGAAAAGGGTTGATAGATTTGATTTAATGTTTGTGCTTAATGCTTTGAAGTATTGAACAGCCATGAAGAATGAACACTGAATGTGTCGACATTGAGTTAATAACTGATTAAAATATGATTTCTCATTTGTTATTAGTTTTGATTTCACTGCATCATCTAGAAAAATGAGTGAATGCAAAAATTCTCTATCAAAATTTGAAATAGAAAGTGTTTCAAATAATTCATCCCGTTGTTTATCAATAATTTTATCCTCTAATCCTTGCTTCTTGATTGTATTATATAATTCTTTATACATTAAAAAGTTTTTTAAATAATCTTCTGCTTCTTCTTGTGATAAATAAATAATTGGAATTTTGATTAAATGCTTTAAAGATTCAAATGTATCATCTGAAGGTGAACCTGAACGGTTGATATAAATTAACACATGTGAATGGGGTGAAGTGTTAGCAATAATGATAATTTGTTTTAATATCGTTAATGTTTTACCTTTATTTTGTTTACCAATTGCTGCAGTGATTGAATTTAAATAACATTCAGAATATGGAATTTTCATTAATTTTTCCTTAGATAGAGCATTTCTATTATCACTCAATGCTTCATTAATCATATCATCTATGTAGGTATTATATACATCTGTTAATTCTTCATAAGGGGTGGATGAATTTAAATCCATTTAATCAAAAATAAATTTATAATTTTAAACATTTCTATTCATCAATATTTCATCATATGAACTTCTATACTGTGGTGGTGTACCTGTTGGATGATATTTCAAACCTTCGTCCGGTGTCCATATCCAATATGTAGTCCTAGTAAACCAAACCTGAGGAGGATTTGTCACCTTTGAACAGTAAGTGTCATTTTCACCCTGAATGATTGGATATGCTTTCACTTGTACTGTAACTTGTGAATTGAAAGTTTCTAATCCATCAAAGAATATACCTGCTCCATCACGTTGAACTGGAATAGTGCATAAGAATGAAGTTTGGTCTTTCCATGTTCTAGCTAATGGTGTGCCATTATCATCATTCAGTGGTCTAGTTAATGAGTCCTCGTATTCTTCCGTGCATTCATTCACTCCATCTAAATCAGAAGCTTGAAGCATACGTGTAAAGAATATGTCACCCACTGTGGTCATCGCTTGATCGGGGAAGTTTCTGGAATCTATAGTGACCTGAAGACCTCGAAGCATTGGATTTTCTAAAACTGTTCTTTGCATTGCATTCTTCGGAAATGTTAACACAACATCTGTAACATTATGAAGAGCGTATGAGAAATCTGAGCTGATACCTTCAGGAGTGATGCAACCTCCATTTAGTGAACGAACGTCAATATGTTGAGCTGGAATCATGAATGGATCTTCCTTACTGAATAAACGTGGTATTGCTTTAATTGATTCTTCAATTAAACCATATCCTGGTGTAATGCATTTATCCTCTAAAACTTCCATCTTTGTGCATGAAATAATAACGTTATCAACTGTTGCGTCAGCAGATGTAGCGGCTAAGCTTGTAATTAATTTGGCAGGAAGTCCGATTTGTTGGAATTTGCGATCATATTTATAAACATGATTCATAATCTTTTCATAATTTTCATCAGTTATCTTTTCATAAACGTAATTTTGTAAATCAGCAACTCTTAACGGTCAACCTGACAAAATACTAAAGTATCCCTGAAAACATAATATTTAAGAATGATTTCACCAAATGATTTAGGATAATCATCGAACGCCTGAAATGCTAACAAATCATTTACCGGAATAATCATATCAAAAGTGATATCAACTTCTTCATTTGCGTTCTTGAAAACTTCTGAAGGGTCAATATATTTACCACATACTGAGTTATCATATTTTGAACATTATTATATAACGAATGAACAAACTTTTTAACTTTCCTTTCTGATTTTGGTTTATATGTTGCAAATGCGAAAGATTCACGGGCGCAATCCATCTGAAGATAACCGGCATCACCTCTTTCGGTTTCTACTTCTAATTGTTTAAAGCTTTGATTTGATGATTTGTAACCAACGAATAAACGCATGCATTTAAAAGCGGCATCACATGTGAAAGCTTTATTTGAAACTAGAGTTGCTTTAACTTTGCGTTTAATATATGTGTCACCTAATTGGTTCACATCATGAGCCGGATTTGTAATTCTTAAATGAGTTTGTTTATCATCAAAATATGGAGCATCAGAGTCATAGCATGAACTTTCAAGTTCTCTATAATATCTTCTACCGTCATTCTTTGCGAATATTTCATTTATCTTTTCGAATGAATGAAACACATTTCCATTAATCGGTTTAGTGTTTGGCACTAAATAGTTAGTCGTCATTTATTAATAAATAAAAAATCAAAATTAAAAGATGAAAATGAATTTTTAATTTTAATGAAATAATCAACTATGGCTGCAGGATTCTTTAAAAAATTATGGGATAAAGTAAAAAGAGGAGCGCATAAAGTTTGGGAAACAATGAAGAAAGGAGCAAATTGGATATTTAAGAATAAAGAAGCAATTAGTGACGTTGCTGAATCAATAACACCAAAAGCCGCCCCAATAAGAGAAATATTAAATAAAGGAGAAAAAGTTTATCAAAGACTTCAACCGATACTAAGATAAAAATAATATTTATTTATTTTTCCACTATCTACCCCCTATTTTATTAAGTATTCCTTCAGCTATTCCACCAATTGTGTTACCTGCTTGTGCTCCCATCGCCGGATTACCTGCTTTAGTACCTAATACTCCACCTATGATAGTTCCTGCCGTTTTCGCTACTGGTGCCAAAAAGTTTGCAACGGGTTTAATAATATTTTTATGAACCCAACCCGCAGCTTTCTTAATTCCTTCCCATAATTTTTTAAAGAATCCTGCCGCCATTTCTGATTTAATATTAATTAAAAAATATATTTCATCACTTATATTCTAATTTTTATTTAATGATAAATGAAACCGATTTTAAAAATAAATGAAACAGAGGAGGAAGAAATAAATGAAAGTAAAGATGATAAACAAAAAATAAACGTTGTTAAACCAATTACTGAAATAAAAATTTTTTCATCTGTTGAAGAATTTAATGACTATTATGCTAACAATAAAAAATTATTTGAAGAATTGACAACGTGTAAATTGAATAAAATGTTTAAAGTTGATGGATTCAAAATTTCAAAAATAAAAGGAGTGGTTAGTTTGAAATCTATTCCTCAATCAAGAATCACCTCATTAATGAAAATAGATGATTTAACAAAAAGAATAGAAATTATTGAAGAAAGAATGAATCAAATAATTGATTTCATAAATTCAAATAATCATTAGTTTCTAATTTCTTTTACTCATTTATGAGGTCTTTGATTATGACTCCATTGATTCCATTCATGATTTAAACACTTGTTTAATTAATCGCGGAATATCTGACATCATCTATATATAGCTTCTTTTATAAAAGATAAAAGATAAATTATTTTAAAATTAATGTTAATTTTTTAATGGTTTATTTTTTTAAAAAAATTATTTTTTATTTCATTATGTATGGGCTGAGTGTAAATGTCTTACAATTTTGAAAATTTTTTAAATCTTGATTTATTCAAAAACGTAAGAATAAAAACCGTAAGAATCATACATTTTTTACTTCATATGTTAAAAAAAATGATACAAAATCGTTCAATATTGTATGAATTCTTACGTTTACAAAAAAAGTCACACAACCTTTCAACATATACTACTTCTATCAAATGGAACATTAACCGACATACTCCGCGGTCTATTAACCGCGAAATTATTAACCTTGACCGCTTTTTCACACTTAACTATCTTTGGTATCAGTAAAGCGCTTTTCTGTGGAGTGCCATACATCGGTAGGGATGGAATTACTTTTTCTGCTATGCGGCGCTTTGGTGTATTCAGAGGAGAGTATTCTATAGGAATATAATTGTTTTCTTCATCGATATATAATATGCCAGAATTATTTTCCATTTCTGGAACATAGTTGGAGGCAGAGAATACGGTAATACATGCGCCATTAAACATTATGGAAACTCCGTCGACGAAAAGGTGTCCTCTAATGAGTCCTCTTAAGTTATTTCGTGTTAAAAATGTTTTAAGGGCTTCTTCATTGAAATAGTATCCATGGCCGCGTGGTGATGCAAAATAAGTCATATTAAGCTCAGGTTTTGGATCACTCCAAACGATTGGTTCTACAACATCTGTGCAAAATTCTATGGGTCTTTTTAGAGCAGCAATTTGTTCAACTGTTTGGAGTTGTGGACCAATACCTCCATGCATACAAATGAAATCACCAACAATAGCAGCTAAAGGAAGATAAGAAAATAAAGAATAAAAATTGGTAAGAATCTCTTGATGGTTAACATAAAGTTGTATGATCTCATCTTTGAATGTATTAGTTGGTTTTGTGGGAATGAACTCGTGGTTACCTCTGATAACGAAAATATTTTGTGGATATAAAATCTTGAGAAGGATAACAAAAGTGATGACTTCTGTTGAATAAACGCCCCTATCAACGAAATCACCTAAAAAAGATAACTTGCTTCCGGCGGAAGTCCATTTTTCTGAAATATTCTATACAGGTCAAATAAATGGCCGTGTAAATCACCAATAACGTATATAGGCGTCTTAATATTAAGAACGATAGGATCCTCTTGAAACTTTTGCGTGGCAAGTTTTAGAATTTGAATCAAAAGTGATGGAGTGATAAATGGAGGATTAAAAGGGACTTCTGATGTTGAATATTTTTCAACTGGGAAAGACATAAGCAAGATATGTTCTTGAAGTAAAGCTTGTAACGAGGGACCTAGCGCATTCATAATTTTGAATACAACTTTTCAAAATTCAGAAAATTTTAAAAATCTTTTATTTAAAAGATAATTAAATTTATTTAACATATATGTTATGTTAATTCTTTTTAAATTCAATAAATTGATTCAATTTGCTTTAAGGGTGCACCCGTATGTACGTTTATTTGAGAGGAGGAGGATTACCCTCTCAATTTTGAGGGATTCGTTAGTTTATTTTCTCGATGAATATGCAATAAAATTTGATTTTTACCTTATCAATATACTTCATATAATATACACATGTTCATGTAAAAACTTTTTTCCAAAATCCTCAGGAATTAAGGGATTTTTGAATTTTAAGGGAGGCTTCCGACCAGAAAGCCCTCTCAATTTTTTGTGATGTTTACACTAAAAGTGAGATTCGTTAAGCGTTTTTCTCGTTGAATATTGAGTTTTCCGGATTTTAAGTTATTCATAAAGCTTCTCTATATTATACCCTATCTACTGATATGATTATTTTTGAAAAATCTCTTAAATCGACCTGCACTGAATTTTTTAGGGAAAATTCGAAATTTTATAAGCGTTTTCTGTAACGTTTTTTCACGGAATAAAATCCGAAAAATAATTTTTTGAAGAATCATTTGGGTAGAATACTTATCGAAAATTATATTTATTATAATTTTGGTCGATAAAAATAAGCGGATTCAAAACTGGCAAAAACCCTTTCGGCAATTTGTGGACGATTCCGAACCCCCTCATTTTTGAAATTTAATAAGAAAAATAGAATCTTTATTAAATATAGATTTTAAAAAACTTGGTTATAAATTACGAAATTTTCTCACTTGGGCTAAAAAGTGACAATTTGATCGGAAGCCACCCTTAAGAATTTTTTTCGAATTTTTTCGAAAAAAAAAATATTTTCAGAACAGCCTTAACGGCTAAGATTTAGGAACAATGTTAAGTATCAAAAAGAAAGGAGGTCTGATATAGACAACATATATCGTTGAAGGTTGAAAAAATCTCTAATATTTGAGCCCAAAATTTCAAATTTTAATTTTTTGAAAAAAGAGGCCACCCGTATGTACGTTTATTTGAGAGGAGGAGGATTATATTTTGAAAGGGTGAAACATTATGAATATGTTAATTATATAATAATATGTATTATTATAAAAAAGAAAAAATAAAGCACGTTAAAATTTTTCTTTCTTGATTTTTTACAAAATCTACTTAGAATTATGCAAAATATGACTAAATAATTATAAATTTCAAGTTAAATTTTAATTTTGATAAATAATTTAAATTTCAAAATATCAAGTTCAGTTCGACTATGTATGTAGTAATTCCTCAATAAAGTGCCAAAACCCTATTAAATATATGAACATTTTCAACATTTTAATGTTTTTATTTAAAAATTTGATGGAATATGAGCTTCAAACAATTATTATGTAAATAAAAATAATTAAATATATGTAGTTATTCGTATTACAACCGTAGTAAGTCGATTCTTCCTTTCTTCTACTGAGTTTTGAATTTGATTTCGAATTGTAAAGAGATTCAAAGGGAAAATACTAGCGGATAAAAACTACCTCCATGAAAGGGTCATAATGGAGTCAAGTTGTATTTTTTGATATGTTTTGCTTTTCGAGCCTAAATAGGTAGCCAAGATAATGCCTAAAAATAAGGTTCTAAATTCTGAAGTTTACATGATCCTCTCGTGTGCACCCTTAAAAAAAATAAATAAGCAGAAAATATCTGAGTTCATGTTATTAAACAATAATAAAAGAAATCGGATGAAAATTGAATAATCACATTCATAATTTTCTCAAAAATTGAAAGAGAAATTTTAAAAACATTTTAATTATATTCCATAGTGTGATTTAAATTTATCATAAATTAAAAATAATTTCTTTACCCTCACAAAAATTGAACATTGCTATTTCCATTTCATTTAGACCGAAATATGATTTCATTAGTTGAGTTGATGAAATTCATCTAAACTAATGAAAAATTTGTGGTTCTGAATTTTGGTTTTATGAAAAGGTGACATTTTTTCAGAGGATTTCTAATCGAATCATTTGAGTTTAAATTCTTTATTGATTAATTTTCTATTATTTCATATCAGCCCTTTTTTACGCAAATATGGTTGTTCATTCTTACGGTTTATATTGAGATCTCGGATAAATATTACTTGAGATTTTCCTTTCACTAACTTCTTTATTTGATTGTTCAGATAATTCTAAAAAATAGCAAATTAAGCACAGTTGATTGAATAATTTGCATATACGAGTATCAATTTGAATAACTTATACAACCTTCTTTTTTAACCCCTCATATATTTTCTTCGTATTGCAAAACTAACAAATTGCAATCTTAAAATATATATTTTGCTATTTTCATCCTATGTTTTGTCCAAAGTTAAACTTATTGATCAGTATCGGTATTAGTGTATAATAAATGGAAATTTGAAACGCTATTTACCTTTAACAAGCATATGACATAAACCCACTGGCATTGTATTAAATATCCATGATAGTAAAACTTTATCTGTTCAAGACATTTGATCAAACAGAAAATAAAGCGAAAGAAATATAGTTGTGTTAAAGTAAAAAAGCAGCTGTACATTAGTAGTATCAATCTCGTAATTGAAAAGTTCTCCATTATGATGAGTCATTGTTGTCAAAAAAGTTTTAATTATAAACGTGCACTGATGTCATTGAAGTGGCTTGATGCTATTACAGATAAATTACTTGATGCCGGCTCCAAACCACCAGGTACACCTGCTGGTCTTTCACTTTCAAAAATACAAATGCTTTGCAAGGAAGTTCGTAAAATTTTAATTGATCAACCAATCCTTCTCGAGCTTCAGCCTCCGCTTACAATCTGTGGAGATATTCATGGTCAGTATCACGATCTTCTTCGCATTTTTGATCGTTGCAAATACCCACCACAAACAAATTACCTATTTCTTGGCGATTATGTTGATAGAGGTGTCCAATCCATTGAAACAATATGTTTATTATTCTCATACAAAATCAGATATCCAGAAAACTTCTTTTTACTCAGAGGAAATCATGAATGTTCGTATATCAATCGTGAATTTGGTTTCTTCGATGAATGCATACAGCAATATAGCGTCACTGTTTGGCGTATGTTTTCAGATGTGTTTAACTGCTTACCACTTGCAGCCATTATTGATGACAAGATCTTCTGCGTTCACGGAGGTATTTCACCAAATCTTAGAAAGCTTGATGATATCCGTGCATTAGAATCTCAGAGACCATTCGAAATTCCAGAAGAAGGTTTAGTATGCGACCTAGTCTGGTCAGATCCAGATTTCGAAACACCTGAATGGGCAGGTAATGATAGAGGTGCCTCATACGTCTTTGGTGTCAATCCGCTTAAGAAATTCCTTGAAAGATTCCATTTCGATTTAGTTGTAAGAGGTCATCAAGCCGTTATGGGCGGATATGACTTCCCATTCCAAGACGAGCAAGGAATTGTTACATTATTCTCTGCTCCAAACTATTGTTATGAATACGATAATAAAGGTGCTACAATGCAAGTGGACGAAAATCTCTTCTGCAGCTTCACTGTTTTGCCACCAATGAAGTGGGAAGAAGACTATTTCGTTGGTCCACGTCCAGGTACACCACCAAGAGGAACAGAAGAAAACGGTCCAACAGAATTGCACCTCTAAACACATTAAATTGCAGTTTACTGGTTTTATTCATGGCAAATGGTTATATAATAATAAATATGAAAATCATATTATTTTTGAAAAATCTAGATTTCTTTCGAAAACAAGCATACCATAAAAGAATATGTGTATGATAACTAGAATTCTTTTGTTTGTAGTAAAAAAAAGTTAATGAAACTCTATAATTACATTTACAGGTATAAAGAAATAACAAAACAGTATTATATGTGTATAAAAAGGAATATATGTTGTATTTCAATTGATTAATGGCGAGAATGGTGGTGATGATGGTGATGGTGCGAATGACGATGATGATTATGGGAAGAATCGCTACTACTATCACTACTGTTGTAGTCTTTCGATTGGTCAGATTTTTTATTGACTTCTTGCCTTGATATTGTATTTTTCCGATTCAATTTTAATTCGCTTTCATTTTCTCCGTCGTCATCTGATGGGTATAATTGTGAAATGTTTGATCGTGAGTTTTTGTTTTTAATTAGTTCAGCTTGTTCAATTAATTTTTGTTCTTGTGCTTTCCTTAGTTCTTCTTCTCTCTTTTTATTGAATATTGCAGTAAATGGATCCTCTCTTAACTTCATATCTTTATCTCCTTTGTATTCATTAACTGCCATTAAAAATTTTGCTCCAGGTAAGTTATTTTGAGTCATTTGAGCATGACGTTTTTCTTGAAGTATTGCGTCTGGACGTTGTTTTTCAAGCAATGGATTAACTCTGACTTCATCTTCTTCATCTTCGTCGCCTTTTTTCTGTATAATTGGTGCTTTGTATATCCATTCTAATCTCCTTGTTGTTTTTTCAATTCTGCCTGATGCTTCTTGTGCTTTTCTTAACTCTTCCAAATCTTTTTCTTCTTCTCTTTCTCTTCTAAGCTCAGCCATCCTTGTTTGCTCTTCTTTATATTTAGCTTCAGCCTCTGCAACTTTTCTGATGTTATCTAAACGCCTCGGATGGAAGCGTTTCTTCGAGAGAAATTTCATTGACATTCTTTATTCTAAATGAAACTTTTATAATAAATAGTATACACATCCATTATCTATAATTTCCGAATTCTTCAATATCATTCCGCATTTACTTATAAATTCTGAAAATATGAAGAAGATTACATATCTACCTAAACTGTTAGACAATCATATGGGTAATATGCACATTTTCCTGTATAGTTACATCTCCTTAAATGCAATAGTTAGATTTGGAATAAAATAAGAAAAATAAAAAAAATTACTTAAAAAAATCAAGAGAGTAATAATTGCAACTAATGCATGAAATACATTGAAACAACTAAATCTTTAAAGCTCGGCCTGTGGCGCATCAGCTCCTTGTTCATTTGGATTAGTATTATTATTATCCAATTCTTGTGCTTCTTTTTCATGAGCTTCATTATTTGCAGCTGCATCATCTTGACTTTGTACTTTTGGTTTGTCTTCAAAGTAAACGAACAGAACAATGGCAATTGGAACTAAAGCAAAGCCAAGCAAATACAGCCAACTTCTAATACCATTCATGAAAACTATGTCAATGATGAGTGAGTAGAAGTTTGATGTCAGCATTGACAAATTCATGATAGTTGAGTTTGAATATTCAAGAACGACTGGAACTGAGATATAATAGCATGCAAGAAGGAATGAGTAGGCAAAAGTAAGTAATCCTGATCTAACATTCCAATTATAATACTTGATTTGCCTCCATTCAAGAGCTCCTGTCATGATTGCGCAGAAAAATGTTGTTCCTATGGAATATCTGAGTAGATATGCACTCTTACTTGTTTCATGAACAATCTTTTCTTGTAATACTGATGAAACCGCATATAAAATTGCACTTAATAAAGATAAAAGGTTTCCTTTCCAGTTATCTCCTTCTCTTCCTTGTGCAACCATAATCATTGAGCATCCTGCTATAGCTATGCCCATAGCAATGAATTGAATCCAATTAATCTTCCTTCCAAAAATGAAATATGCCATTGGGGCTACCCAGAATACAACTGTTGTAACCAAAAGCATTGCACTTGCAAAAGATGTGTATCTATATGCTAAAACTGCTGTCCAATCATCTAAAAATCCACAAAGTCCAACAAGGATATAAATCCACCATTTTGTTTGTGCAGGTTTTAAAAACCATATGTTCATGATGAAAACTAGTGCATAGCACATAAGTAGTGAAAGTAAACTGCAAACATCTCCTGAGTAATAATAATTAAAAGACAAAGCAGCTCCAGCACCAGTTAAAATGAGAGAGCATACTTGCCATCCAATCATCACACCCCAGATGTTACTCAGACATCTTTGCATTCTTATAAAATGATGTATCTAATTGAAAAATTGTCTAGATTATGAATTCAATTTGATCAAATTTACATAAGAGTAAAGACTTAACTAGCAGTGCACATTAGAATTTTCAGTGGCTTGCAGAACATCAACAACCGTTCCGCTAGAAGCTGTATATCAAATTTGAATGTATTTTGAAATAATTCAATTAATGACAAAAAGCACGATGATATTCTTCTTAAAAAACAATCTGCATAGTTTTTATTGATTGGATGCTATACAAAATTGATATTGGTATTAGTTAGTGCAATATATCTTAAGAATAAAGTGTTTGATCTTTTTGAAAATTCAATCAAAGATGAAAATGTAAAAAGTTGAGATGTTTCTTTGGTTAGTCATGTGTAATTCATGTATGAGATATATGACTATCATTATTTTTCGTTTACATGGATAATAAAAGTGCTTCTTCTCGATTTTATCACAAAAATTTCTGAAAATATGTCAACTTTTTTTGAATCAGCAATCTTCCAAATAGGTCAGTGAAATCTTCATAAAAACAACTTTATTGCCTCAAGCAAGATACTAACTCTACTCTATTTGTTCATTAATCTTGGAAATATCCAGATAACCGAATATCAATAAAATGAGTGATGTATACGCTCTAAATCTCCAAACTCAAAGGACTTTAATATGTATATACTCTGTTACTAGGATGTCATGAGTTTTAATGTCAGTCCTAGAAAAATATAATTTATCAAAGATAAATAATTAGTTACATGGATGAAGAATGTTTTGTTGTAAGAAATGTAGTAATTTTTCAATATTAATCTTATTCATTTCAATATATTCGAAATTGATAAAAATCAAATCTCATTCGATTTCCCTTAAATTAGGACATTCGTTAATATTGCTTTTATTGTATCTATTCACTATATTTTCTGATTCATGTCTTGTCATTGAAATGAAATCAGTCAATGATAGAAAAGTGACAAATATCAGCACATCATGTCCTTTCCACCAGAACTGAAGATTGTCGAAGGAACCAGTATTATGATAGATGTTCCAAAAGACATTTTCAAAGATTTCAAAGCGTTTATTGATAAATGGCCAAAGCAGCCACCGAATAAAATAATCGTTGCAAATGTTAACAGAAAACCAATCACAAAAGAAATCAAAGGTGGAAATATTGAGTTAAGACATCAAGTTCTCGTTGAAGCTCTTGAGCATTTCGGTTTATATAAGCAGCCAACAGAACTTATCTGGCCTGCTCAAATTCTCCACTTCATCGATACGAGAGTCACACCAGAAATGACACAAAAAGAGTTTGAGGAACTCCCAGATACCATATTTAAGCAATTTCAGTTTTACAAAGCTCCTGAAACAGCTCCATCCCCGAATGATCTCAAGTACGAACCAATTACAGTTGGCACCTCCACAGCTGCCTTCTTACTTGGCACATTTGGTTCTGTTAAGGATTATGAGCGCATGAATGACTTTTATCGTGATGACCAAACAACATCTTATGTTGTTCAGCTCTCCATCCCTGTTCCAGTATATGTTCTCGTTACTCGCCAAATCGTAAACAACACATTTACCTTCTCATTCCCTAATTCCGAGAAACTTACAGCAAAAGCACTTCATGGAATTGTCGAAAAAATCCTTACAAAGGTAGAAGCAGACAAATGCCTCAAAATGAAGTTAATGGATGCCGATCAAATTAATATCAAAGCTGCAAACACACAAATCGCACAATTAGACTGCTATGTTTCAGGAAATCAAGAACTTGAAACAGCTGCTGATGATACACCAACATCTACTGTCTATATTTTAACAGAAAAAGAAGATGAAAAAATATTAACAGAAGCAGCCCAGAAAATCTTCGATTACTTCGAATTACATATGTGCAAGAAGTGCAAGTGTGTATATCCTAAGTTTGAGACCCAATGCTTCATTACATTCCACAAAGGAAAGCAAATTCCAATTGAAGACGATGAAATGGAAATTGTCGATGAAGACATGGTCGACGAAAACGGTGAGCCAATCATCCTCCAGAATTGGACTTGCTGCGGCATTATTCCAGCTGATGAACTCGGATGTGACAAGAAACCAAACGGACAACACGAAGAGGACACAGCACATCCTAAGATTTCTAAGTTCACAACAGAAACAGTCAAATATTCCAGGAATTTCTAATTCGATTTCCCTCAATTTTTTGACACATTGAAATATAATTATTATTTATATACACTAAAAATCCCCAAATATCCATTACAGTTTTTTAGTAATTATTTTGATTAATTTTTTTTGAAAAATAAAATTCTCAAAAAAATCTGCTTTCCTATTGATAATTCAGACATCATAAGTAAGATATTTCTAAAAGAAGAAGGAATGTTAACATTGGTTTCAAATTAATTTTGTTTTTGAAGATATTTTTCATCTTATTTTGCAGTTACATTATAAATAATCTTGCATTTATCATTTCTAGTTATGTAAAATCGTAACTAGTTAACATATCAATAATATTACTCATAATATTTGAAGAAATTGAATTCATTTATGGATTTATTGAAGATTTATGTTTATTAGCTTGATAAATATAAGTTTTTGTAACTTTGAAAGAGTTATACTTTAAAAATATCTATATACAAACAAATAATAAAAATAATTATAACATTTGCAAGAGTTCGTTTGCAACCATTGCAACAAGGTTATCTGGACTATTATGTGCCTTCCTTGTAATCCATTCTACACTCTCATTCATTACTAAAAAGCTGATTTCACGTGAATAATGTGAATTCAAGATCAAAATGACGTTGATTATCGACTGAGCAATTTGGTCTGTGTACTTATTCCCTTTATGTATTAATTTGATAACTTTGAAAATGTCTCTAAAAATAATTTTTCCGATTTCGTAGTTGTTCTCAAGAATAGTACGTAATAACGTGAAAGTAGCATCAATAATTGGTTCTTCTGTATATTGTTGGCATAATTCAAGTAATCTCTTTGCAATTTCCTTTGAATCTTGTTTAATAAATTCAAAAGAAGCCTGAGCAATGTCGCAAAGTGCAGCTGCTGTAGCTACATATAATTGCAGCAACATTGTGTCGTCATTGAGATTCGCTTTCAGGCTTGAAACAATTTCTTTTGAGTGGATCTTGAACATTTCTTGGTAATTTACGGCCAAGAAGCCAAGAAGAAGCTCAAATGCTTCAATGGTGTTTTTGTCCTTTGATTCTATTGCACTTTGGATGCTATCTAAGCATTGTGGAACATAATTCTTGGCTTGTTCAGGGGAAATCCATCGGAACATCTGCACGAGAGCACAAAATGATTCCTCAAAAGCGTATTTTTTCGAGTCTTCGATCAAAAATTTGACTGTTTGATCCAATAATTCATCTGTTGGTTTGACCAAACCGAAAAATGTTAGAGCAGTACAGAGGTATTGTGTGCATTCTTGCATTTTAAGAGCTTCTGACCATATATAATACTGTTGATTGACGGGAGAACGATGGAAAATTGAAATTAAACAGTCAAAAACATATCTACAGCAGTCATCTTCTTTACGATCTTGTTTTGAGATCTCTTCTGTTGCAAATATCATGAAGTTTTCTCTTGTTGCGTTCAGAGAATCAATTGGAGATGAAGATAAAAGTATGGAATAAAGGTAGAGGGCCAACCTTACGAAATGTTTACTATGGGAATCAAGTTGCTTTTTAATCAAGTCGAAGATTGTTCGAACTAAGTCTATATCCGTCATTAATAATTCTGGATAAAAGCCAATTATCTTTGAAATGGTAAATACTATTGCATATCGGATAGATCCATTGAGAATTGATGAATTCTGCAATAATATATTTAGTTTTTCAAAGAAAAACTGCTTAAATCTTTCATCATTAGTTTTGTGAACGAAATAAGAGAGCATAAGGGTGCAGGCATAAAATTCATTTGCATTCTCAGAAGGATACGATGATAATTTGTTATAAATGAAAATAAAAATCTCGGTAGGAATCAAATAAAACATTTCCATCATGCAATCCATAGCAATTGCCTCTGGCATGATATCTTCAAGTATATATGGTTCATCAATGGATGGTTTTGGCTCATTCTTCTTTAATAACTCAAAAATTAATTCCATAATTACATTATAGCTGCCAAGAATATAGTTCTTTGATACTATATTGGTTTCTGTGTTATTTTTGAGCATGTATTCGATTTTTGCTAACTTTGTCCAAAACATAAAACAATAATTCATATCTTTGACTTGAAATGATTCCTTGTTTTGCGTATCGTAAGCACGAATTCCTTTGTTAATCCTTTCTTTAACTATACGATAAAAATCCAAGATTTTTGGTTCAATATTTGGATAAAATTTATTAATAAAGAGTTTCAAGCAATTAAAAATAGTTTTTTCAATATCACTGATCTGATCTTCCAAAATTTTAATAATTCCTTCCAAAAAAGCATTGTTTTTTTCTGGAATTTTAAATAATTCTGAAAAAACTAAAAGATTTGTATTGAAGAATTCGAGTGCAGCTTTTCTTATTGCATTTGAAAGTGTAATATCTTTGAGAGCTTCGACTAATAAGTCAAATAACGTGTAAAGCATATATTTGTACATTGGATTCTTTTTTGTAATGAGATTACGCTCATATACTTCTTTTAAAAATGATATCAATGCCTGATCTAAATCTAAAAGGTTTTCATAAGTTGAAAAAATAAATTTTCGATGTGTAACAATTTCAAAAGAAAAATCATCTAAATTGTCTGTTTTGAGTAGGAATTCAATCAAATTGGCCAGTAAAATTGGTAAATTAACATATATATATTGTTTTTGAATCGAAAAATAACTAAATAAACTTGATACTAGATTCGAACATGATGCAGCTTCGTGTTTTTTCCATAAAATATTACACTTTTCTATATTTTTTAAGGTATCTGATGTAGCTGTTGCCATACTCGCAATCACGCGCTCGTTTGTTTGTTCTTTTTCAATGTCTTTGGCGCTTTTCTCATTGTAATGTCCATCAAAAGTTACAATACCTTCAAATAGGTAATCAATTAACTCTTTTTTTGCCTTTTCTTCAGAGGGTTCTGGTTTTTGTTGTTTTCCATTAGACGGTGGTTTATTTGCGTCATTATTTGTTAAAGTTTTGGCCATTTTAAAATCAACAAAAAGACACTTTTTATTTTCAAAAAAGTGCCAATTTTATTTGAAAGATTAACAAATTTGTAAAAATAAGTGAATGTAAAAAGTATTGATAAGTGAATTAGGTAGAATTGGATGTATATAATCTAATACAACCCAATGTAGAGGCCATATAAGTATGTTTAAATTAAACTACTTGGTGAAAACGGCTTCTGGAATAGAAAATCCCCCTTATCTTGAAACTTTAAACAAATATTGCTCAATAACATGATACTTGTAATTGTTGAAAGAACCATGTTAGTACTATATGTAATGTAACACCTTTTGTTCCACAACTAAGCTTTATATACACGTTATTCACATATAAAAATCAATAGTTAATTCATCACATTAGAATATGAAAAAATGTGCGATATCACATAATTTAGAAATATACCTAAATCCTTTTGTAAAGTAATTACTTAAACAATTCTGTTCACCAGATTATATTCGAGATTTTATAAAATCAATATACTTTGGCAAAATATGAAAGATTTATAACCAATTCCTAATGAAATCTTTGTTGTTCACATAACATGAACAGATTTGATGATTTGTTATTTAAATAAAAAGTGACAAAATACATTCAAAATGTCTCATGTTAGAATATTGAGCGAGAATGCTAGTAAGCAACCAAATGATTCATGTAGTAAACGATATGATGCAATAATGAAAGATCTCAACGAACTTCAGGAAAATTTCTTCAAAACGGATGTTGAAAGATTAGTTGAGAAGGTTATGAAGTTCTTTGACGAACAGAGTCAGTCACCTTTCCCTGTAATTGCACATATTATGCCACCTCAAGATCTTTCTGATGCTCTTCCGTTCATTTCTGCTCTTAAAAAGATTGAAGGCGTCGAATTTGTCGATCATCAAATGCATCATATCCAAAATAACAGAGTAATTTTATTCCACTGCACTCCACCGCCATCAGATATACCAAGAGTTACAATTTTCGAAAAATGCTTTGAATATTCGATTCTTTTTGATATATTTGTCAGTCAAATACTATGCTTTTTATTCCATCGCGGTATTTCACCAGATCCTAAGATTATTGGCATCCTTAAATCGATTATTTCTGATAGATATCCTTCATTTACTTTCTTGTTCACAATTATCAGACAATCCATATTTGAATACATATCTTCGAAAGATGAAGCCGATTTAGTTAATATTATTGACTTTAATGACTTTTCTGAAGTTAAAAATATCCTTAAAGAAGAAGATCTTCCAATCAGCCTTTTAATTAAACTCCGTGAAGATGCCTTACAAGTTTCTTCTCAATTACTTATCTCAGAGCAATTAAATCCTTTCCTACTTAAAGATGCAACAAATTATTCATATATCTGCTCATCAGAGCTCTTTGAATCCCTCAAGACCGCACTTGCCTCCAAGGGAGATGACTATATTCAGACAGCTTTTAAGAATTACGGTTCAATTATCAAATCTCTTCCAGAATTACCGAAGAAAGATACAAATCCGATCTCGATGCAGCCACCAAAGACGAAATCATCGAGAATGAAGCAGCTTATGAACGCTTCTGCCAATAGTACTGAAGGTGTTAACAGATATTCTGCTTTTATGCAGAGGTTGTTTATTGATTTAGATCCGTCTGCACCTAATTACATGCCTGTTTCTAATTCTGCAACTTTTAACCCTAGAAAGTCATTAAACGAGGCACTTTCGGATCCAGAAAACAAATCAGATACGGCCATCGCATATCAGATACTTCAAGAGTATGAGAAGTCAGTCTCAGCATCAGAATGGATGCGTGCATTCCAAGCGAAAGCGAATATTGAAGACAAAGCTTTGGCTTTATCACGATTCCAAGTTGCTGTTAGTGAATTAGAATATTTAGGATATACAAACCAACACTCACGCAAGAATGCTGGTTTCAGACATATTATCAGAGTTTAATAAATTATTTTCTTTTTAATATTATCTTCAAACTTATATCCTTTTTCTATTGATCAATGCTCTGTTAACTCGACTATTGATAAATCTGTAAATATTTCCAAAATTACTATCATACTGAAAAGATCCTTTTTCTATTGACATATTCTATGTTAAAACATCCACTGTTAGATATTGACAACATTAATCAGATAATAGATATTATCTCGACGAACTTTATATTTGGTATTCAAACAATAGTATGAATATTTTTTTTTACACAGCCAAAAATGGGTGTGTTTTTGAGAGTTTTATATGTAGAGTTATCTCAAATATTTTAGTGTAAATATAATGGTAATTACCAACATGATATTTGTTGGTAAATGGTATGTAGAGTTATCCCAAATATTTTATTGTAAATACACCGGTAATTCCTTAAAAATTATACTTGTCATTTGCAAGTTAATTCATTGTAAAATCTCGAAAGTATGATTACTAATGGAAGGGTGAAAAATCACGCACATAAGTCAATATGTCATTTACTTTAAAAGTTCACGATCTAGTTAAACGAAGGTTATTGGCAATTCTCATAACTTATATAGGAACGGCGAACCATTCAATTGGTCATAGACCAATTTGAGATACCCTTTTCAGAGGAATCTAAAATGTTGTTTATATGGTTATTTATATATTATTTAATCATTTTCTTAAATAAAAATCATAAGTTCTCAATTTTTCTTCATAACGATTCTTATAAATTTTAATGTTTTTACTATGAGTAAAAAAAAAAAAAAAAAAAAAAAAAAAAAAAAAAAAAGGGTAGTGGGGCTTCCAGGGCTGCGCCCCTCTAGCCCCTGAAGATGTTTAGTATAAATGAAGTTCTTATATACGGGTCTTCCAGGAGCTTTTCACAAATTATATATGTTTTCATGTTTTGTCAAGACTTCTTCGTAAAATCAGACAAAAATAATGTTTAGGGTAGAAGGTTAGATATAACCTCTTTTCTAACCTCTTTTCTACCCTCTTGAATTTTCAAGACTTCTTCGTACATGTTTTGTCACTTTTCTGTCACTTTTCAGGAAAAAACATTTTTATTATATATATAAAATGAATTTTACAAAACCACCGTTACCCTTCTTTGGAAATAAGAGTAAATGTAAAGATATTATATTGAGAGAACTTAAGAAACTACCGAATGGTCTAACATTTGTAGATTTGTTCGGTGGAAGTTTCTATATATCCCATTTGTGCCATACTGTATTTCCTGACTCAAAGATTATATGCAATGACTTCGACAACTATATGAACCGTCTCAAACATATTCCAGACACTAACAAAATATTGAAAGAGTTAAAAGAAAAGATACCTATAGGTAAGATGGAACGTATACCATTAGATAAGAAAAATATTGTGAGAGAGGTTTTGAAAAAAGCAGAATATATAGACTGGGATAGTATATCTGCTAGACTATTATATAGTGGTGCTATAAGAGTTCATGACATTGAAACACTTATGTCAAAAGTTTTATATCTCAACTATACAAATGTTTTCAAAGAGGACATAGAAAAATATATTGAGGGTATAGAGTTTGTGAGATGTCATTGGACAGAGTTGTATGAAAAATATAAAGACAAGGAAAATGTTTTCTTTATGGTGGACCCACCGTTCTATAACACATGGGATTTTCAATACCAAGTAGACTGGACTTTGAGAGACTCTTTAGAAACTTTAGACGTTTTACATAACCATCCATGCTTTTACTTTACATCCGATAAAAGTGGTTTGGAAACCGTTATGAGATGGTTAGAGGACATACATGACTATGAGTTTAGATATGACAAGATAGAATATGAGAGAGGTCCTATAAACTGGAGAAAGTGTCACAATAAAGAAATTTTATTGGTAAGTAAATGTGGTTTGAAATAGGACTACTTGTTTTAGGTTTTTTCCATTGTGTCATTTATTTATTTGACGTGGCAGAAAGATATAGAGAATATGAAGATGAACCAATGCCTGCAAATGTTCAGTATATGTACTCGTAAGAGATATTTTTATCTAATATTAAATGGACGCACAGAACTTAGCGAATGCACAGCAACCTGGACAACCAAACCCAGAGAATATTCCAAATGAAGTTAGAATACAAACTGCAATGGCAAACTATGGTCAAGTGCCAACAGATGTACAAATGCAAACTGCCATGTCAAATGACGCTGCGTTAGGTTTGCCACCATGGTATGCAAATATGAGATGGAAAGAGTTTTATACAAACCCTGAAGTGGGATATAAACAACTCTATGCAGATGACGCGAACACAGGAGTTGACCCAGAATATGTTTTCTACCAGAGGAGAAACAGAATGTATGAGCTCCAGTTAAAGAATGCTATGGAACTCAACAGGAAACGTAAGAGACTAGGCGGACATTAGATTTTTACATATAGTAAAATGGGTTTCTTCAGTAAGATAGGAAACTTCTTTCGAAATGTTGGAAGAGGTATATGGAATGGAATAAAAACCGTAGGAAGAGGAATTTGGAACGGTGTCAAAAATATTGGTAAAAGAGTAGGTCAGTTTGTTGGTATTATACCTAAAGACCCTGAACCAGAAGAACAAGCTCCTGTTATACAACAGCCTGAACCTGCACCACAGTCTAGTTGGCAACCAAATCCAACACCTCAACCGTATTAAAAAATTATATTTTTACCGTTCGATAGTAGTTGTATATGAAACTAAGTTCTAAGTAAAACGCATGGTATAATGGAATTATTCTTTTTCTTCCATCTGTAGTAAACCATACTTGAAAGTCTGAAATACTTCCACTTGGTGGTTCGTATAACTTTGTAGGTTTTTCGTAAAAGTCATTTGCCAAGCATAAGAAAGAGTTTTGGGCGCCAGAAAATGAAGCATGAACAATAATAGCAGCTGGGTCGAAAACATCTTTAAATAAATATGGTTCATCTCTTGCATATCGACTGTAAATATTTGCTAAAGGAAGTTCGACTTTCTGATTTAACATTCTTTGCAAATAATACCATGACATTGCAGTGAATTCTGTATATATTTGTTCGTCTTTCTTTGGATTGTCTTCGTAGATTTGAAATGACACTTGTGAATTTTGTTTGTCATATACAATTCTCACATAAAGTGTGCTCTCGGTATTTGCATATTCATCAGCATATTTTGCATAACATGAATTTATTTTATCTTCTATATTTTTTAACGCAGTCTGTAGAGAAGATGAAAGGTCAACTTGTATTAGCTCAATTTCTTCCCACATTTTTCGTTTCCCTTCAGATATATAATCTATATGAAACCTTACAATAAATGGAAAACTTTTATCTTCTACAGACACAAACTTCATTCTACGAAAGCCAATAGCTTTTGTGACAGATGGGTCTCTTAGCCATCTTAATGGGTAGTCAAAACGATAGCCTTCATGCTTTACGGTCTCTGTCTCAAACTTTTGACCGACATTAGTAAAAAGTTCATCTAATGGTTTAGTTGTAGCAACTCTTGAATTTTCTTTTTCTATTGGAAGCATATTTTATCTAGAATAAAAATGTCAAATGAAACAGCGTCTATGAGAGAAATACAACACAACCGACAACTCATTATACAAGCTCTAAATAAGAACACAACAAACTTTTCAAACTATTCTAAGATATCTGAGTCATTGAAAGAAGGAAACTTAAAACTGACATTAAACCCAATGACAGATGAGTTTCTATTTCAAGACAACAAGAACCATACTGTTTGTATAAATCCAACAAAAAGAACTTTAAACGAGAAACCTATAGATGAACTTCTTTTGAAAGCAGATATTGACAACAAAGCTGACAAAGAGTATGTCATTGAAAAAGTTCAAGAAGAACATGACAGAGCAGATGCAACATATGCAACAAAAGAGGATGTTGAAAAGAAAGCTGACAAAGAGTATGTTGACGATGAGTTAGCATATCTGGCTAGTGGGTTAGTGAAGAAGGCAGATAAGGAATATGTGGATGAAAAAGACAATGAAATTAAAGAAATGGTTGAATGGTACCATGAACGGACATCGAAGATTTTAGAAGGTAAAGCCAATACAGGGTGGGTTTCAGGATGTTTAGACCTTAAAGCCGACAAAGAAACTGTAGATATGTTGGCACAAACGGTTTCAAGTCATACCAGAGGTTTAATGGAAAGATGGAAACAGTTGAAAGAGCTTGAGAAAGGTGTTACAGAGTTAAGGAATACAAAAGCAGACTCGACATGGATAAAAGGATATGTAGATGCAACAAAAGAGTATATTTTCACATGGACAGAAGGAACATACCACAAAAATATCATAGACATAGCATCTCTGACGTAAATGAACTTGAAGAAAGGTTATATAAGAAAGCAGACAAAACAGAGCTTCAAACATTAAAGACTGAAATACTTCAAACAGTATATCCTATAGGTTCTATTTACACGTCAATGAACTCTACCAGACCAGAAGTAGTACTTGGTCTCGGAACTTGGACTCAAATAGTCGACAGGTTTTTGTATTGTGCAAACTCTTCAAAGGAAACAGGTGGAAGTAAAACGATTTCAGGTGAAAATTTACCTGCACACAGTCACTACATAGATTTAAGTACATCTCAAGCAGGTTGGCATAAGCATAGATATTGGGATTGGTCAGGAATGACAAAAGGTAAAGGATATGATGTTAAAGACGAGGTTAAGTTTGCTATAAATTGTTACTGGAGTGACACTCAGGGAGATGGAAACCATACACATCGCGTTTCGGGATATACGCAAACAACGGGACAAAGTAAAGACTACATGCCACCTTACATGACAGTTTACGCATGGTATAGAAATGCTTAGTCGTCATTTTCAACTTCTTTAGCATATTCGTCAGGAGTTGTCTTATATTTGTTAGGAACTGTCTTTGAAAGTATACCACCTTGAACTTTGACAAGTTTGAAACGAGGTCTGACAATAGTAGTTTTATCTTCTGCTTGCAGTCTGTACATTTTGCCATGTTTGCCTAAAACTTCATAATATTCTCTTGTATACTTTCTTCTATTTTTACGAACACGAAGGTGAGTACCTGTCGAGTTCCCATTGTTGTCATAGTCAATAGTATTTTCATATGGGTCGCGTTTAGGTATTTCTATTTTTACTTTGTCACCTTTCTTAAGTTTGAAGCCTGGCATTCTTTCTTGTTTGTCTCTTTTGACTAAACTATTATATAGTCTTTCTCTAAGTCGGGGTTGTTTTTATTTCTTCGGGGAGTGGTTTCCCAAACCTTTTTGTTTACGGCTATTGTAAATATTTAAAACTTGTCTCATCTTTGCCATGGAGAAATGTCTATATTTGTCGTCATATGACATTTCATCTACCTCACCACCTTGTGGTTGGTTTAAGTCTCTTAAGATTTTTATACAACTGTCAATGACACCAAGAGCAGAATGGTTTTGGTCGACAATGAAATATTGGTTTACATTTTTTGAACGCAGATAGTTTTTAATATCATCTGATTTGAAAGAACTTTCACAGTCAGATGTCAGTTTTGTTGGATGGTATTTGTCAACGAATATTGTCAAAGCAGTTTTCACATCTAAAATATTTTTGGACTGTAATGGTATGGTTTCACAGTATCTTGTTTTTGACCAACAAATATTAGCCAGTATGGTGGTCCATCTGTTCTAACTCTCGGAATGTTTTCCAAGATATCCATAAACCAAGCATTTGGTGTTGAACTAAAGATTTTTATCATGAGTGCTTTCTTTGTCGCTTTAGAAACATAGGGGTCCTTGTTCGGATTCGTCATTTTTTACCCTATAAGAAATGGGTTTATTTGGCGCATTAGCAGGAGTTGCATCCAGATTTTTGCCCGCAGTGGGAACAATAGCTAGAGGTGTATTTGGAGTTGGAAGGAAGATTTTGAGTACATTAGGTATACTTAAAGAGAAAGCACAACCTATTATACAAACTGTACAGAAAGGTTGGGATGTAGCACGAGATGCAGCAAATCTTATTCCAAATCCTGAAACAAGAGGAAAAGTTCAAGGATGGATGGACAATGTAGGAAGACAAGCAGGAAACTATTATAACAAAGCAAATGACTACTATAACCAAGCAGGACACTATATGGACCAAGGTGAAAGATTCTTTACAGAGGATTAACCATGCACAACAATGGGTAAACAATAACAACTCAACCGCCTCAAACGTGGGGAATGTAAAGTTTTTTACTGAGATGAATATAAAATAAGCATGAGACAAATGGGTTCAAGATGGATTTGTCGGCTTCCAGCAGTTACACAAACGTGTTTGTAAAGTTCTTCCTATACCTCAGGAAGTTTTAGACCGACTTAAAAAACACAACAACCAGTTGAAAACAAACCAAACTAAAATTTTTTACTGAGATGAAATGACCGAAGAAGTTGAAACGGTAAGATTTGACACCACAAACAAAAAGTTCAGAACATTTTCAAAACCTGTCAAAGAACTTACAGATGAAAGAAAAATTCAATAATAGAAAGTGCCAGGTCTGGAAATACAAACCCTAACTATAAAGTCACTTTTCATAGAAATGGAACGGCTAGTATCTCAAAAAAGAAACAGACCCTCACAAATAAAATATTGAAGTCTGAAGGAGCTTTCGAGACAACAGATGGAAAAGTATACTTCACCGACCAACAGTTCATTATAGAACATCTCATTGACTTAGAGTCGAAATATTCTAAACTTTACAACAAACACAAAAGTTGAAAGGAAAACAAAAACAAATGGCATATGATATTTATGAAGATGTTGACGACACAACTAAACTGCTGCAAGTGAGGTAAAGTCAGATGAACCGAAAAGTGACGAAAAAACCGATAAAAGAAGAAAAACCAAAAACTGAAGATAAACCAAAACCAAAGTTTAGTTTGGAAACTAAACCAAGTCAACCTTCATTAGCTGGTATGGGTTGGCGTCAAAGGCTTATGATAGCAGGTGGTTATGTAAAGTAAAGAAAAAACATTTTTTTATTTTTATAAAAATGCCCCCATATAGAATGGATAGAAAATCTGCTAGAATAAAAGCAGAGTTAGAAAGATATGGTTGGAAAGTTTCGAAGAATTTTAAATATAGGAAGGGAAGACCCATAAAAGTCTATGACAAATTGTCTGGTCTTCGCTACGAAATGGAATTGGAAACAGCACGCGCAAATTATCCAAACAGACTAGAGAGGTTAGAAGAAGAACGTCTTATGGACATGCCTTTCGATGTTAGTGAACCTCAAGTTGAAGGACACGACGGCTTTGCCAGATTCTACTGGAAACATGACGAACAATTGCATCCTTTGAGAAGGAAAAAAGGTAGTGCAGAGGATGGTCATGCTCCCATGGAAAGAACAAGATATGCATATGAAAAGTATCGTGAAGTTAGAAGTCAAATTACATCTGGTCGAACCTTTACAGTAAACTTTGACGAAGGAAAGAACAAAGAAGGCTTCATGGGTGTACTTGCTGCCATACAAGACGGAAATAAGAAAGGATACAATCTCAGACTAACCATAACAGATTTGGATGGTCATATATACTATGCACATGGCAATGTCACAACAGCTGCAATGCTTCTTGACGCTTTCAAGACTACAAAGAGAGAACAAATGGTTGACTCCGACTCAGACATTTTGAATGCAATTGAAGGAATTGCAAGTGTAAAATTTGAATGGTACCAACCGAACCCTCAAGCAGTCAGACAACATGCTGGATACTTCCCGTTCATAAATAAGTCTGACATTGACTTGACAAGGTATGGAATTTACAATTCAATTGAAACAATTGTCAACGAAACCTTGCATTCTTACATGTCTCAGGAACTCTGGTCTTGTTACAGATGAAGAGATGAAGTATCTTGGAGTCATGTGTGAAGACAAGGTACATTCTCAGAGGTCAATTGGCAAAAATTGCACCGTTGGCAAATGTCAATATCCGAGTCAACATACCTACAGCTAAAGGTTCTTCACATGACGACTATGTTGTTGAGTTCAATTTACCATGGTTGAAGATTGCAATTGTCCACAACCACTTCATGTTGAACGAAAGTCTTACAAACCATTGTTCGGAAAAGGCAAGTGCAACATTGTCAGAGCTGTAAACATTCTTTTCGAGAAAGGTTTGTTGGAACAATTCCAGATGACAAGCTGACAGAAACTTTTGTACCAAAAGACGAAACAAACTTTTCATTGTTAGCAAGACCCAAAAGTTGTTCCAGACAAAGTTCTAGTACAAAAGAAGTACACAGTTCCAAAAGGAGTTGGATTGTTCGGATACCAACCTGAACCAGAAGAACTTCAATGAGGTTGCAAGAACTTCAAGATGCTATAAACAAACTTCCATTGAGACATCCAATTGACGTCCAAATTGTATTGGAGAGCATCTGAGTTAGGTCAGAAGGTTTTATATGAAACAGGTTTGCTTCGACGATGTTTATGAGATAACAGGAGAAAGTTTCTCAGAAGATAAGAGACTCACTTGAATTTCCACGAACTGGTCCGATTGGATGCGACAAGTTCGACTCAGATGAAAAGATATACTATGTCGACCTTAACGCTGCATACATGAGGTTCGTCCAATATATTCCAACTGGAATCCAAACGAAGACGGTGAGTTCCCAGGAAGGAACTATACAGTTGGAAAAGTCATACAACAACTGTTATGATATTAGGAAAGCTTCAAACCCCAAACTTGCAATGACACTCAAATTGCTTATGAATTCGACATGGGGATATTCCATTAAGAAAACCTCAAGAGATGAAGAGTAAACATTATGAGAAGGTCGACAACTTTGTTGAAAGGTTTTCTCCTTTTGTTTGAAGTACGAATTCACTCAAGGTCAAAGTGGAAACCACATGGAAAACCCTATTGATCGAAATTGGCTTACCTCAGTTCGCAAAGGCAGTCCCTTGACAATATAAACAACATTCTTCTCGAATCAAATTCGAAAAGTTGTGGTTTACTATGAGAACATTGACGCACTCATGACGAACGAAGAAGGCTTATACAAACTCCATTGAAATGGGCATGGTCGGTGAAAAGATGGGTCAATTCAAATTGGACAAAATTTTTACCGAAGTTCATGTCCTCTCCAAGCGTAAGTACTGGGGCATACTTGAAGACGGCACAGAAATAAAACATTGCATGAAATAAAAAATTTTTTTCGAATTTAATCGGACAGGTCGAGTTACACCATTCTTGGTCTCAAACTCATTATAACCTGTTTTGTTTGTATTTTCGTCGACTATGGCACGAGACACAAACATTGACCAAACGGAACAAAAGTGTCATTTCAGATGGTCACGCAGCCAATCGCATTCGAGCACTTCGAAGAAGCCTTACGTTCCAAGGGAGAGGGTGTTCTGGTGCAAGGCAGAGGTCATGAAACTCTACGAGCAGTACATCCTCAATGCCTGGGAGGACAAATCGTCCTTGGATTGGCAATTCTACCAACTCCTCTGGGACGACCCCTACGTCCAACTGGGATGACGAAAGAGTCCAATTCAGGGGTCAGGAACTACTTGTCCAAATTCTCATTAATTTAAGCGCTTACGCAACTAAACACCTAAATTTTACTTGGGGTTTCCCCCTAAAATAAAATTTTTTACTCTTAGAACCACTCGAGGTTCTCCTAACGGTTGTTGAGCTTTGTCACCGTCAATGTGTCCTGACCCTCGTCTTCTTGTCTGGATTTGGAACCCATTGAATTGCGACAAGCTTACCCATGGAGATTGAACCGCGATTCGAGGTTAAGGTTCAAGATGTCCACAGTTGAGGACTGGGGTAAGACACATTGCCTGTCTCCTTGTTGCGGATTTGGTATGGGTAGGGTTGGGAAATTTCGTAAGTGTCCATCGGCAACAAGGTTGCCCAAACTTCCTCTTCTTTCGGTTTCTCTTCTTCCTCTTCTTCCTCTTCTTCTCTTCTTCCTCTTCTTTGATAATACCTTCGGCAATTCCTGTGTTCACGAATTACGGTGTTGCATGTTTGTCCTTTCCGATACCTTCCAGATAGGCGTCTATCCTCTTCGAAGAAAGGTAGATGAGTCTGGCAAGGTCTCGGTTCTTCTCGCGTAAATGCGCAAGGTTTCCGTTAAATCATTCAGGACTTTCTCATTGGAAGCTTGGTTCATGAGGAACTCCACTTTAAGTCCCTTCATCTCTTCCATAAGACCTACTTTGGAGAGTCTTTAACGGTGTTGTCAGATGAGCTTTCAAATTTCAAATTTGAACTTTGAACTGGGCCTTTGTCTGGCAACATTGAAAGACATCTGCCATTGTGTTCGGCTTCGGTGCTGTTCGGACATTCGAAAAATGAAGTGGTTTTGAGAATGAACGGTTTACTTCAAAAAGCTTGTTATGACGGTTAAGTCATACAACAAGTTTAAATAATATCTTGTTCTTCTTCTGAACGTTTGTTGTTGTCTCTTCCGATAAAAGTTTCGACATGAGAACAAAAAACGTTTTTTTGAGAATTGCGGAAGAGTTCAGGCAAACGTTCATATTCTGGATATGTTGGGAGCAGTTCAAACATCTGAGCTGACTTTCGGACAAAATTGGGACAATGTCAGACATTTCATCTTTGGTCGGACTGCTTGAAGGTAAGTCCCTTAACATGTAAGTAGCTCTGGTAAAGTCTTCTCATTTCTGCTAACTTTTGGAGTATAGACTTCGTAGTTTAGAAGTTTTAATTTTAAATGTCTATTCCACTCTTGACATCTAAACGGTAACTATCCATGAGGTCAAGAGTAGCTTGGTAGCTTTAAGTGGAGCTATCTGTTCCTTGACTTCTGCAATTTTGGTTGCAATTGTGATTTGAGCTCCTTCAAGTTCGCCGTCTAATGTCGTTCTCAACGCCTTCAACCATGGCTTGAAACTCTTCATCGGTCCATTGAGATTGGTGTGGGACGAATTTAACTTGCTTCATTCAAAAAATGAAAAAAAATGTTTTTATTAACTCTAACACGTGCCATGTATATGGCTATAAGAAACTTACCAGAAGGCTTCTTCTTCACATGAGTCTTTGGCAACTTGAAGTGTTGGTGTTGGAGTTCTTGGGGAGGTGGCTTCTGAAATTTCAAATCTCTCCTCGAGCGCAAAACAACAGATGTCAGAATAACATTCCCCACTGTCCTTCTTGCCACCATAACTGTGTATTGACCAAACTTGCAATTTACAGGAAGACCGGTCAATACAGGTTCACAGTTGAAATAGTTTGTACACAAACCTGTTGAGTACGAGTGTGAGTAAAAACATAAAAAAAGTTGAAGTGAAATGAGATGTTTAACTGAACTGGTTGGATGTCGCCTTCACACGGTTAATGTAGAACGCTGACCCGAGAAGTGAAGGAGAGACTGAATTGCAATTTCATATGGGGTAGGGGGTTCTCCTTGTTTGGTATTTTTATCCAAGGACGTTTGTTTAGGAACTTAACAAGAGCTTCTCTTTTGGCGTCCTTTATGCCATCGTAGGCCTGTCCCGTCTGGTATTTGAATTGGAATTCCAGTCGAAGTCTCGAGATTCAAGGCGCCCTTCCAGAAATAGCGGTGAACTTGACCTTGGGCTTCATTACCCTGCGCAAGTACTGCTTAAAAACTTCATTTATCTCTATAAGGTAAATTGCCTCGTCAAATCCTTCTGGTATTCCGAGTCCTTCCATCCGACAGGAAAATATTTTCCGCACAACTGGAAAAAATTTCCCGCAACTGGAAAAAATTTCCCGACGACAGGAAGAATCTTCCAGTTGTCCGTCCGTAAACCATTCAAATTTTCGAAAATTGAGAACTTTTTGGTCGAACTTCAAGAAAAGTTTTTTCCTTCGAAGAGAAAAGTTTTTCCTTCCGACAGGAAAAGTTTTTCCTTCAACAGGAAAGGTTTTTCCTTCCAACCAGGAAAGTTTTTTCCTTCCAACAGGAAAGGTTTTTTCCTTCCGACGGTTAAGCCACAAACAGATGTCCGAACGTACCACAACCGAGCCCATTCCCAAACCAGAGGACCTAAAGCACCAGCCCCTGCACCTCAGCAACCTCAGTTCCAGCAAGTCCCTCCACCAAATTTACTACCAATTCTCACCTCAAGGTTACTACCAATTTCCACTACAAGGCTTCCCGAACTACCCTCCTCAGCCTATGCCTTACTTCCCCAACCTTGGATGTTCATGTCAAACCCTCCACCCCAGCAATTCCAATCTCAAATCTCAATCGAAGAGAGACCAAGGTTCGAAGAAGGTCTGAACACGTTTACGCAAAGAGTATGCTACAGCTCCAATGGAAGCTGCGACAGGCTTTTCAGTCTCTTCCCTCAAATCGACCGATTTGACTCGTACCACAGATTCGGTTCGTGACCGTGAAGACTACCTCAAGCAGTCTGAGAGACTCTTCATCCTACAATCATTTAACAACTGGAGCTCTCTCAAGAACATGCGCAATTACGAAGGTCAGACACCAGCTGGAGACCGCAAA